TTTCAAAATTTTTTCGTTCATTTCTTATGAATGGAATAAGGCCTTGTCGGACAAAGATAGGTTTACGAAACTTAACTTTTGCTAGTAGTGTTGACAGGGCTTTCCCAAAAAAAGTGTTCAACACGAGTAAACGCGTCTTATGCACCCCTCCCCCGCTGGCACGTTCATTTGATGGTTTTCATTGATGTTTTAAAACGAATGAGAAGGGGGCGGCAAAAACAGGCGGCCAATGGGCGGTAAGTTGGTAAATCCGGCCCTGACACGGACTGTTAAATTTCGTTTCAACTTTAATATCTATCATAAACACAGTACAAAAGAAAAAATTCTTAATTCAACCAAAAAAAAAAAAAAATGCTGAGATTCTCGCAACGTAATTCTCGCGACAAGATTTGGACATAACGTCACACAATCGTCCATCACACCATTTTAATTTCTTATAAGTGAATCCACAAAATTTGCAAACTAAAGAGTATTTTAAATGGAGGTCTAATTTGTCATTATTTCCATTTTTAAACCTTCAAGGATAGGCAAATTTTACTAGGTAGGTATTTTTGCTACTTGCATGAATTATCATTTCGTGCTATAGGTACGTTTTAAATTTGGCCAATACACTCACATATTCGACGATCTTTCAACTCGATAGTTATTATCTCACTCTTTGTATGGCTCTAACTCTCAAACCTTTTTTTCATGTGTGTTTTATCGATTTTTACTGTCGGAGTAATGACCAGCAGTGAGGATCCCGCATACTCCTTATGGGGATGTGCACCACGATCGATTTCTAATTTTTTTAATGCATTACTTAAATACGTTTTTGGATGCTCATCAAAAGTCATCACTGCGCCAACTTTCAACGAGGCATTTATTGTTTTCGCACAGTCTATGGTGGAAGTTTCAATTACACAATTTTAATACATTTGTATTACTTGAGTGAAGCCAGCGACGCGATATCTATCTTTTAGCACACGCTGAAAACGAGGAGAACCAGGCAGTCTTATCTCGGATTCCGTACGCCTTTTCGTTTCACCGTCCAAATCAGGTTCTTTCCCTCTCCCACTCTTTTCCTTACCGATCACGGGCTTGGGTTTTCCTTGTGAAATCGCCGCGCTGCGCTGGCCTCACTTATTCAAGTAATTATCAAAAATTCCAGCGCGGACTGTGCGAAGTACTGTAAAAAAGGTGCCTCGTAGAAAGTGGGTGCAATGATGCCTTTTGATCAGTATCCAAAAACGAATTTAATGCAATACAAAAAAATGGAAATTGATCGTGGTGCACATTCCCATAAGGAGTGTGCAGTGTCATTTCTCACCAATTTTATAATTCTGAAATAAGGGTGTACCACAAAAGATAATGATACTTCCCTTAAAAATGATGTCCTCTGTTTTGAAGAAAATATCTTTCATTATTAGCTTTCCAAATTGGTATTGATAGGTAACCAATCTTACGGCAGAACCAAACGTCTTCCAAAATGCTTTTGAAACCAGACAGCATGACACATGTTTATCAAGGCATTTATGTCTTCTCAATTGTTGTCGTCATTCTTCATCTTATATTTTTGCATTCACTGTTTGAGATCAGCAAACTCAGGAAAACGTCGCACATCTAATTTTCTGTTGCTGATATTAAATACTGGAACGCTCTTCAATCCAAAAAGAAGTTGAACTTTTTCATTTTTTTTATCGTTAAGCACCCACTGTTTTTAATGGCTTATTGCAGGAATTCGTGTGGCGATGATTTTCCCTTCAATCATCTAAACATTAACATCTATCACATTTTTCTTGGTTTACGGCGCAAATTCTAACCTTCCAGACACTGCATTTTTACTGAAGAAGGGCTTTATTATTTTACGATTTTACGTGTGCATATTCATTTAATAAGGGTGCACCAGAGGTTATGAAAAATCTTAAAAGAACTCAGTTGATATAAGACGTATTCATTTTTGCTCTCAAGGCATTGCCATATTTCAATTCTTAGCCCCTCTCTCAGGGCAGGTGAGAGCGGAGAGCCCCCAGTTTTTTTCAAGCTGTAGCCCCTACCTTAGGATTCCTCATTGGAAAGAACATTATAAACTAAGAATTTTGGCACAAACCGCAAATAAATATCTTAATTTTTTCCCGAGTTATGATAGATCAAAGGTCAAATTGGAGTTCTGATAAAAAATAGCTCTGTCAAATAGCTCTGATTCAAATTACCCTAAAAACAAATACAATGGTGAAATTAAGGGTGAGCACTCTTATGTAAAAATCGCAGGAATCATTTCAAACGAATTTTATTGGGGATTTTGGACCCTCAAATACGTCATTTCAAAAGTCCCACAATTTTTCTGCCTAATGAGCCAATTCTCTGTAACTTTGTCGCAACATTTTCTCCGTCAGTTCAAAATTCGGTCAACATTACATTCTCAGGTTTCCAAATGGGTACTGTTCAAAAAACGAAATTCCAACAGTCAACTTCCATAACGTTAAATTTCGTTTTTTGAACTTTGCCCAAAATTTGGGCACAAATTCAGGACTCTCTAGAGTGAATTTATGTAACCTTTTTCGGTAATATACCTCCCTTTTACTTTGAATTGTGCTTTATAGTTTCTTTTCCCACTTTCCTGTTTGTATCATAATCTTTCTTCTAGAAAAGGTAAAATTTTTAACTAGTAGATTTGTTCTTTGGAACAAGGGCGTATATGAACAATGATTTCTGTTATCCAGTGGGAATCAAAGAGAAATGTAGTCACTATGTTCCATTTCTGCAATTATACTGTCAAAGACTTGTTCTTTCAAATAAATCAAGTTTTGTACAAAAATATAGGCTAGAGCTTGAGTTACACACTTTTGAACTATCAAATGCAATTTCCTGAAACTGCTTTTTCCGGCATAGGCCCTTGTTCCAAAGAACTTCTCTTCTTTTCTGGAGACGCCATTGTGATTCATATGTAATGAATCACACCCATAAAAAACATAGAGGTGTGTTACAAGATTGTTGAGCGAGAAAAATGAGAGGTTGAGAGAAATATGAGAAGATGCATTAATATGTTTTTTTTATTGGGTCAGCTGTTGTAAAAAAATTGACAAAAAATTAAAAAGGCACTATATCAAAGCTTCATGACATTTTCCAAGCTCTTTCCTTGGACTGGAGATTCTAAAAGCTAAAAACTTGCAACTTAAGCCTCTAAAAGGTGGGAGGATTCAATTCAGCCAGAATAAAGAAGACTCATGCAAGGAGCTGATTTTGAATTTGAGATTCAGTTTATTCAGACTTGAAAATACTCCTGCAGAAAAATAAAAAATTTAATTTACCTTTGGAACACATTTACACATTGATTGTCTGCCTACTGAAAATGGTATGTGTTGATAGTCTCCTTGTGGATTCCTCATGAGTCCATAGGTCCAATTCTGCCCATGGTCAGGGACGAGTTCTATAGAAGTGATCCCTGCCATGGGAGAGGTGTCGTCAGATAAGTTGACATTTGTTCACTTTCGGTTGCAGGCGTTTTTGCATCACTACTATCCACATGGAAACATCAGACTCTAGCACAAGCGAGGTGTCAAACTAACTTAAGCTTGGATAGGTTTTTTAATGATTTCAAACCATGTAACACTTTAATTTATAGCCACACAGAAACTACTACCACATAAAGGTCCCCGATCATAACTGATAAGTAATGATCATGATACGGATGTTTTTGAGGTGGATAGTAGCAAACGACGCTTTGTTCGGAAGCGTAAATTCGTCGTCAGCATCTGCAATTTGAAAGTAAACAAATGTCAACTTACCTGACGACACCTCTAACTGGGGGAGCCTACACCTTATTGGTTGCAACAGCAAAATATGCAAGCACACCTTAAAAAGCAGCTACATTGACAGAGCTGAGAATTTATATACAACTGTATGTTAGGTTTGGGTGATTCAAATAAGGTGAATAACGAAATTGCGGCCTGGACCGTATGACTTAAACCTCAAACCAAATATTTTCATTTGCTGATTCTTTTTACAATAGGCACACTTCTTTTAAAGGGTAAGATGTCATATAACTTGATATTGATGGCATAGTCTGAAAACTATGATAATTTTTCCTAATCAAAGCATAACAATGGTTGTCTGAGTCTACAAAATAACTACGACTGGTGAAATTTTCCATAAAAAGTTGGAAGATTAACTGAGCCGTTCAAGACAAAAAGCTACAAATTTCCAGGGAAAGAATCACATGGAGTTCAAAATACAGCTAATAAGAGTTTTTTATTAGGTCTAATTGAGCCTTCAGATTCAATTTCTTGTAAAATGAGTAAAAAATTACAAAGATACAAAAAATAAAACACCATACAGTCATCACAGTGATTAGTCGAGGTTAAACCAGGTACATCACCGTTGATATTTTGATTTGTAAAAAGGAAGAAACTGCATATGATCATTCTGAGGGTTCCAAAATGAGTCGAGGAACAAAAAGCATCAAAAGAACCTGATCTACAATATTGAAAACTAGCAAGTGTGTTGGCTCTATCCGTAAAATCAAAGTGTGACAAATGACGAATAAAAAACAAAGGATTCATACAAATGGTAAAACTTACGCATGGCCTGCACATTTGGTGCCGCTTATTTTCCCAAGTCTGGAGTTTTGAAACAACTTATCGTTAATTGGCTCTATTTCACCAGAAACATGCTAATGCAAATTTAAGCAAAAGATTTGAATCTTTAGAGGTTGCAAAAACACTGATTAGTTTCAGGAAAAATTATACAGTGGTGTANGGGGGGGGGGGGGGGGGCAAGCCAAACAGCTAGGTAGAAAATGCTTAAATTAAGTAAAATCCAACATTCTTCTTGTTTTCATCGTACATACATGTAGGACTCAGAGGCAAAGAAATTGCAATTTGAGTCTGCCGGTTAGAAGCAGTTTTGGCATCCCCGAGCTTCGACCTTGAACAGCCACACTTGATAGCCCCGATGGCAAGTAGAAAGTCTGGAGTCCCCCCACCCAAGACGCTTCTTTTCTTTCTCCCAAATCCTTCAGATTTCCTTTATAATAAGAAAAATGTAAGATTTAACCAAATGTGACCATTTTACACCTTACAATACATTAATGTATCCCAGCTGTAGGTCTTGTTAAGAACCAATGCAATGTTTCCTGGAACTTTGAGCCGATTTTATACCCTCTTAAAATTCCAACTTTTGGTTGGAGCTAAAGTTTTTTCAGAGCGTTTTTCTATGAAATAAAACTATCAACGATAGATAGTTGCGAGCTGTTTCAAGGAGAACCAACAAAGCTAATAATAATCCACATCTCATTCGGCAATGGATAGGATATCTTATCCATTGGCAGGGACAGCTACAAAAATACATTTTGAAAAGAGATGTGAGCTTCATTCACTTCAAGATAGGAACAATCTTGCACAGGGTGTCCCACAAGGACTGCAAGTTTTCTGTTTAAGGACCAACGGTAGTAGATATCAAAATGCGGTTTGTGTAGTGTTATAGTGCTTGTTATGATCAATAAAACAAAATTAACCCAAGCTATTTAGTTCAGAAATTGAGCAAGTTACAGAGTTTTGAAAATGGCGCTTCTAGTTGACCCCTCCAGGATTTGCTGCATTTCCTCTGATAACGGAACAAAGATTTAAAAATTCGCATGGTTTAATTAATTAATTTTGTAGAATCTCATCAAGACTACTACCATTTACTCTACTTAAATAGATGACTGGACTTGAGATTTCTTCTTGGAATACTTTTCTTCACATTCCATACAATGCTGCAAACGTTCTTCCTGCTTCTGCAAACATTTTTTTTAAAAAGCTTCATCCCTAAGGTTATTCAAAAAAGTTCCAACAGATCTTTTGATTTTCTTGGCAGAATTGAACTTTTTGCCTCTTCTTGCCTCTTCTTGTCTCTTGTCTTCTTTGCCGTGGGAAAAGTCGGGATCCAGGCTGCAAGGCGTTTTGCAAATGACAAGTCGAGCAGACCCCTTCTTTATTTCAACAATTTTTTTAAAATGAAAACAAAGATTTACAGAGCCAAAAAATCTGTAAAGAAAACGCCTTGATCAAGAGAAGTTTGAGACATACTGTCAATTGACGCAACTGCTCTATACTGATGACACTACTTGGGCATGTTACAAAGAAGCAGCTAAAGATGAAAGAGACCTAGCTATTGCACTAGGATATTGCCTGGTGACACACGGCAAAGTTCACCGAAGGGTTTATGGATAAACATTGGAATGTCTGTCCTCCGCACTTCTCACGCAGTCCGGACCTCGCACCTTGCAACTTTTGGCTGTTTCCCATGTTCAAGAAGAGCTTGGGAGGCAAGAGATACAACTCCGCCAAGAAAATCAAAAGAGGTGATGGAACTTTCTTGAACAACCTCATGGATGAAACTTTCGAAAGCGAGAAGAACAGTTGCAGCACTGTGTGGAAAATGAAGAGAAGTACTTCAAGAAGGAAACCCGTGTCCAGTCATCTATTGAAGAAGAGTAAATGGTAGTAATCTTGATGAGCTTCTACATAATTAATTTGATAAAAACATTTGAATTTTTAAATCTTTGTTATGTTCTCAGGGAAAAGTGCAACAAATCTTGTAAAAGGCAAATGGACATGCCATTTTCAAAACGCTGTGACTTGATCGATTTTTGAACTAGAGAGCTTGAGTTAGTCTTGTTTTATCAACCATTACAAGCACTATAACACTACACAAACCGCATTTGACATCTACTACCGTTTTTCTGAAAAAATAAACGTGCAGTCCTTTTGAGACAGCCTATGTAAATTCCAAATCAAAGTTGTAAGTATTTTTTACTTGCCGCTTAAGGAACTCTAACTTTTTCTGTATTGCTCATTCATTGGACATTTTAAATACATCTATTACAAGATAACCCTACATTTACACACTTTCTTTCAAAGCAAAAATATATTTTCACACAATCAAATAAATATAAGTGGGCAAATAAGAGAGACAGTAAACTAGTTACTTAAACCAAAAGAAGGCACAAGCATTTAAAATCTTACTATTCTAGAGTTGCGGGAGTGAACCTTTCGAATCGTGTGAAGTCTATGAAGGAATGAAATTTAAATTTGAGTGGACTAGGCTAATTACACAATCACAGAACTTGAAAAGACACATTTGAGTTTCTAACTGGAAAATTTAAAATAATAAATTAATTAAAATAAAATGATCATTTCACGGTTTCATTTTTGCCTTTTTCAAAAATTCATGTTATTCAATAAGAGCAACGTGCAATGAGTTTCTAACTTGCAGGCTTTTTTCAACACAAGGCGAGGGATTTCAGACTTTATGCTTGAAATCAACCTCCATTTATTTTGTGGAGCTCATGAAATAGGCAAAGTGGATTTAATTTCAAAGAAAATTATCCTTTTTTGGGGGTATAAGAAACATCTCAAGTAGCCAAAATATCATTATGTTTATTACTGATACAGATATGTAAAAGATACCTGTTCAAATATCTTTTGAACAGGGTACTGAATGGCTGAAAATAATTAAATGTTGTGCTTCAAAATTTTTGAGCTCATGTGCTCTACTAGCCCTTCTTCAAAAGCACATTTTGTTCTAACTGACTACAGGAACTTATTTAAGAAATCTAACAGATACTTAAAATACATAAAAGAAAATAATAGAACAAAAAAATATCAAGAGCAGGGATCTCATTATTTGAAACAGGGAGGGATGGACATTACTGACATACGAGATGTAAGGCAAGTGGTAGGTTCAATCTCATTGTTTTGGTGCGGAGAGTATTTGAAGAAGAATGTAAGGGGAGAGAGATGCTCAAATTGTGGCAGTATGGTGATCCATCTGTTAATTTTACCCAACATGAGAATCGGACGTCCCTTCTCTACAAAAGGCTCTGAGCTAAGAAATAAACAACGGGACGAAAAATATGAATATATGATTTACAAAAATGGTAAGCACTGTGACCAATGGTTGAATGAGTATAAAAATATAATAAAATAATAAGATCCAGGCGGGTAGTGACTGTACTTCGGTCACAGTAAATCATGCGTTTTTTTACAAAAAAAATGCCGAAATTATTTAAACATACAAAAACTTATTGAGTAGGTACTGTACAAACAAACAACCAAATAGGCAATTTTTTAAATAATGTGAAAAATCCACATCATATCTCACTAATTTGTCTTCATAATACATAATATAAAAGTAAGAGAGGCTTCAATGGAGGAGGAAATGTAGGGAAATGAACATGACCAAAAAGTTGGAGGCCAGAATCTTTGAGTTTCCACTGCTGTCCTCGATTTCATTAAAATGTCTGGGAGGAGCTGAAAAATAAAAATATCATAATTGAAAATTCAAAGAGACTTGTAAACTTCACGAATGGTTACAAAACCATCTATTTAAAAAAAAGAAAAAAAAAAAAAAAAAAAAAAAAAAAAAAAAAGCTTTATGATGAAGCTGGAGAAGTTGTTTAAAGAAAAGAAATTGGAATCACATTGCTTTTTTTTTTTTTTTTTCTTTTTTTTTAGATTTTTATTTTGTAAACTTCCAAAGGAATTATATACAATATCTTTACAATGTAATAAATCAATATACAAGAGACAACAGAGTAGTTTCTTAATTCTTGAAAGAAAAGGAAACAGAGGTGAGTATAAGTAGTGAAACTACCACTAAATAACCCTCCCCGCCCCTAACAAAAACTAACACACATATAAATGAGTATGAAAATCAGTGATACAAATGAAAATGAAAATTAATGTAAAGATGATGTAAGAAAAGAGGAGCATGGTATAATTAAAAATACAGATCAAATCGAGGAGTGGCCAGCTCCCATGGTTTGCGTCTTTTTAATCTTCTAATTTCTTTACTGTTATCTAGCAACGTAATTGCTTCCTCATTAGTGTGTCTATGTAGACGAGCCTCATAGCGAGAGGAAATTTTTGTGATAAAGTCTCCCACAGGCTCAATGCCGAGATCTCTGTGGATATCCCTGTTTCGTTCATATCTGTGTGCCCCACAGATTCTACGAAGTATTTTATTTTGAAGTGTCTGGATCATCTTAATGTTCGTGGGAGCAGCCGTTTCCCATATCTGGCATCCATATGCCCAGACAGGTCTAATAAGCTGCTTATAAATAAGCAACTTATTGCCAAGGGATAATAGAGAACGACCTCCCACCAACCACTGAAGGCGACTAAATTTCCAGTTGCATTCCTGACGGTTTAGCTTAATGTGGTGTTTCCACTTCAATTTACAATCGAGATTAAGGCCCAGATATTTAGCAAAATTTGATATGGGGATGAGGACATCTCCATATTGTAAAAATAAGTTATTGTTTATTATTTGGTTTGAAAAGATCATTAAAACGAATTTAGAAGGATTCATGACTATGTCTTTCTCTTGACACCAGTCATATACCGAAGTTAAATTTTCTTGGAGTATGTCTAGAGCTACTTCTTGGGATAAATTGGACGCCGCATACGCTGTATCGTCCGCGTATTTAGCTAACATGAAATCCCGTACTGCAGGGGGTATGTCTGAGGTAAAGAGAAGATACAGCAAAGGACCCAGTACCGAACCCTAGGGTACACCTGCTAAAATAGGGAGGCTGTCTGATAACGCCTCGCCTACCCGAACTTTGAACGTACGATTCTGCAAATATGATTTTAGCAATCTGGCATGGCAGGCAGGTAAAAGAATCACATTGCTGACGCTCAAATAAAAAATACTTGCTTCAAGTTGGGAGCACTACATTGCATTTTATGCTGACTACATTCAAAAGTATAGTCCTTGGACTACGACCCAAAAATGGCAAAAATCCTGCACTTTTTGATTGGAATACAGGGCTCATTGATAGTAACCTCAGGAGTAATTCTGGAAGGGGAAACACTCTGAGACCCGCGACTGGGGCAAGATGGCGGCCGTTAAAGTCCGCTATATGGGTTTTTTTCAAAGCACTGTCTTTTCAAAGAGCGAAACTGCCAAACTCTTTGAGTGCCAGCAACCAGCGCCAATCAACCCCCCGTTAAAATTTGCTTTTTCCAAGGCCTCCCAAAGTTTCAGCAACGGCTTACTCTTGACCAACTCGACAAGAATTCCACCAAGACCCGGTGCTTTGTCATTTTTTAGCTCTCTAACCGCTTTCATTATATCAAAAGTGTGGACCTCCAAGTTGTTCATTCTTCTGTTGTCTGTGCTGTTGTCTCGAAACTCTGGGCGCCTTTCTTAGGCTTTATCCAGAATACTTGTGTCATTTTGTTTGTTCCACTGTGATGTGATATCCTACAGTAATGCAATGAACTTTATGAATGAAATGAAATTGCTGTCACGGGTCTAATTTTGGTCACGCAGGGATGATGATGATGATATCAAAGAGGTTGTTCCATCTACCATTGAAACTGGGCCCCGAATGAAATCTCCTCATCTTTTCAGGTATCAAAGGGCATGGTCAGGGACACCCAAAAATGGTTGAATTTTTTCCAAATTCCCCCCTGGGGAGGGGGGGCGGGGGGTTATATGAAAAACGGTTTTTTGGCTATAACTTTTGAACGGTTTGAGATATCGATTTGAACTTTTTTTTAAATGAAAGGTCGTTTAAAGAGCTTTCTTTTGGTATATTATGTTTAATAGTTAGGTCAATTTTTGACCAATTTATGGCCTGTCAAAAATTTTCCATGAGTCCAAAAATCAGATTTCTGTAGTTTAGAGCAGCGACGATCGCATGCAGATGAACAAAAAACTGTTCAACTTATAGCCCTCTCTCTGACGGTTAAAATGAGCCCAAGATCATCTTGGGGAAACGATTTGTCTCCGAGTTATGCTTCTTCAAAGTTGGCGCGGCGGGGTCCGCTTCCGCGGGGCAGCGCTCCGGAGTACGATAGTTCACTCCCACCCCCCTCCCGTCATGCCACGCGACGCAAACCGAGGAAGACTACCTTTAATGATCATTTGAACAGATAAATGCACACAATATACGCTATTATGGTGTACAAGTATTATTAAAATTATATTAATATACTAAATAGAAGAGTGGAATCTCACCGAATTTATCATCACCGCAATCCATAGGATCATCGGCAGTGTGATCCGCATTTTCATCCTCATCTTCGTCGTCTGAAAAGCCAAAATCGACTTTTCTGAGAGGGAAGCACTCGTTCAAAAAGGCTGAAGGCGCTGGTTTTTTGTGATAGCGCCCGTAAAACAAATACCACAGTATAGTTACGACGTGAGCACAAGGATTGATGGTACGCGCACCGTTCTTACATGTGCAGTAACTTGCTTTAATGGCCTCGCTGGATTTTTTACTGGTGTCGATTAATATAAATATATGATATTCTTTTTTTGATTTATGCCTCGATAGGATCCGCGATCGAAGAAAAAGAGGCGAATTTACGGAAATATCATATTTTTGAAAATCTGGCAAAAAGTTATCCTTCGTCACTTGAAAGCAATATTTTCCATTAGCAAAATGGTCTGCAATATAACTTGCTGCAAGTCCAATTTGATAACTTCCCGAGAGGGTGTCAAGATCTTCGCTCCTCCACTGTTCTAATTGTTTAAAATGATCTGTCGTCAGGTTTTCAAAAACTACTTTTTTTCGGAGCCATTTCTCGTCCTCAACAATTTGTTGCACAATATTCGGCTCATTTAATTTTTGGAGCATTTGAATGGCAATTTTTGCGTCGTCACCATCACTTTGCAGGCGTTGAAAATATAAATTATGTATCGCGGACACTATGCGATAGTCGTCAAACAAATTGCCGGATCCAGGTATATTGCTTCTCATTTTATAGAGCGTTTTCAATATAATTTTAATAATACTTGTACACCATAATAGCGTATATTGTGTGCATTTATCTGTTCAAATGATCATTAAAGGTAGTCTTCCTCGGTTTGCGTCGCGTGGCATGACGGGAGGGGGGTGGGAGTGAACTATCGTACTCCGGAGCGCTGCCCCGCGGAAGCGGACCCCGCCGCGCCAACTTTGAAGAAGCATAACTCGGAGACAAATCGTTTCCCCAAGATGATCTTGGGCTCATTTTAACCGTCAGAGAGAGGGCTATAAGTTGAACAGTTTTTTGTTCATCTGCATGCGATCGTCGCTGCTCTAAACTACAGAAATCTGATTTTTGGACTCATGGAAAATTTTTGACAGGCCATAAATTGGTCAAAAATTGACCTAACTATTAAACATAATATACCAAAAGAAAGCTCTTTAAACGACCTTTCATTTAAAAAAAAGTTCAAATCGATATCTCAAACCGTTCAAAAGTTATAGCCAAAAAACCGTTTTTCATATAACCCCCCGCCCCCCCTCCTCTTGGGGGAATTTGGAAAAAATTCAACCATTTTTGGGTGTCCCTGACCATGCCCTTTCATACCTGAAAAGATGAGGAGATTTCATTCGGGGCCCAGTTTCAATGGTAGATGGAACAACCTCTTTAACAACTTAGGGGTACTTTTGCGGATCGGTCCAATGAAGCAAAGCTTTGATTTCAGTTTCTTCAAGCCTCTTACAACGAAATGATCTTAACGGATCTGGTAGCAACCGAATGACACGGCAGTGAACACAGGCAGTACGCGCCGTGTGACGCGCACCGTCGCGTTTCACTTGACTTGCTCTTGTGGGTTTGTTTTTCATCGCACAAATTTGGTTTCAGTATCGCATTAAACCTAAATCAAGCGTTCGTCTCCTTTCAATAACGAAACACTCATATTTATTCGCCCATCAGGCATTAGGTATCTGACTACAAAATTTTCGTTTTTCTTGAAAATTTGAAAAATTATCATGTTAACGCCAAAATTTTTTAGGGAGCTAGTTTTCCATGAGTGTAACTGCTTATAAAAAAAATTGATTAAAATTGATCGAACAGCAACCGAGATACAGCGAATTGAAGGGTCGCGTCGGCCGTCTAGAGCGCGGAAACGGGTCCCACGGCGCAAAGCGCGCAACACTTAAATTGCTCTCACGTGCCTATTTGTTATTGCACAAAAATCGTTTTGGTATCAAATTAAAGGTCAGGCAATTCTACGGCTCCGTCTGAGGAGGCAAGATATCCATTTTCTAGCCTGTCAGAAAGTTATTTGACCTTGAAATTTCTATAAATTTGAAAAAATTTTGGTTTTTCCCGATTTAGAAAGCAAATTTAAGACTAACAGGAAATTTGGTAAGGAACGAAATTGTTCTCCAGGAAATTACCTTTCATTTTTAAAAAAAAGCTGATCAAAATCGGATCAATAGCAATCAAAGGACAGTGCTTTGAAAAAAACCAAAATAGCGGACTTTAACAGCCGCCATCTTGCCCCAGTCGCGGGTCTCAGAGTGTTTCCCCTTCCAGAATTACTCCTGAGGTTACTACCAGTGAGCCCTGAAAGCGGCATATTCCGATCAAAAAGTGCAGGGTTTTTTGGCATTGTCAACGAACTAATACATCATTTCAAAGATAATTTGCATTTTAATTTCAGAGAACATCTTTGGAAATATTTAAAAGTAAGCATTACACCTTCCATTCAGCCTTCGTGCAAGAAATAACTTAAATTTTCATGAACTTCTTTTTTATTTTTTTTATTAATCTATTTATTTATTTTTTATTTATTGTTAGTACATTAACAACAATCTACAAAAAGTATTCAGTTGACTTTGTGCCTTCACAAGGAAGAGTTGAGGAGTTGAGTCAAACAAAAAGTGTACTGGAGCCATGATCAGCTATTCTGAACTCACAATTTTATTTACTCCTTAAAAGTCACCTTGGCGACTGAAACCAGATGATTCTTTACTTCTCCTCTCATTTCATTATTGGCAGCTAAAGAATTTTACTTGGATAAATAATAGAATTTGGCATCCTCCATGAAAAAAAGTAAGAAAAACTTATTTACCTGTAATTGCCTTCCATGGTTTGGTTGGATGTGTGGGGTAGACTCTTCGCGTTGTTATCCACTGTTTGGTGAGTAATGAGAATGGTCGAGGAGTAGTGGTGGTAGTTGTTGTAGTTGTAGTTGTGGTTGTTGACGTTGTACTTGTTGTTGTGGACTCATGACTAGGTCCTGTACAAGTTCCTAAAAATGACCGATGAAAAATTTTAAGAATAATTGGAAAGACTGGAAGATAGAAAAAAAAGTAAAAATCCAATAGCCAGCAAACTGAATATCGGCATTATCCAAAGAAAAAAGAAACAGGAGCACTACAAACTCAATGATCTGAACGGGCTTACTGGAATTTCCGTTAACTTAGTTTTGCCATTCAATTCTTGTTTGTTAAAGAGTTATTGGTTTTCTTTTTTGTTGATTATTTGGGGAAATTTGCACCTCTCAAAGAATGGGGTTGTTGCATGGGTGAGGGATTTGAGAATAAAAAATATGAAGTCAAAGAACTTTTCGCGATAAAAACGATAGTAACGTCAAAAATCAGGTCATAATACCCGAGAAAGCCTGTCAAAGTTCCATCAAATTCAAGTTGAAAATAAACGATTTTCATTGGCTGCTGTACGGTTGGTCAAACTACGCGTCACAACGCATGGGTGCCTCTCCTCGCCGCCATTACCAGAGACAAGAGACCCTCCACTGGCCTCCTAGCGACAGGTGGAAGCTTTTACTTTCGGGATTTCAACAATTCCTTATGGACAATTCGTCGCCCTCACGACGAAGAGGCGTATCAAGATTTTGACTACTTTTCAGGAGAGCAAAAATAAGATTTTGAAGAACTTAATTCCTTCGCCGCTACGTCCCTAATTAACGTATCTGATTTTTTTTTTCGCATTCAGCGCCGGAAAAAGATCAGGATTCTAAAAATCACATTGAATTTGTAAAATTATGCCTAGCAGCCCTGATATCATTGAAATATTAGAAAAGGGTCCTGATACGTCCGTTGGCGGAACACTGAATTGGGCACCTCCGCTGCTCCGCCGCGTCCTCTCGGCGGGCGTATCATCTTGTTGCGCTATATCTTCCCCTATTTCATTCCTTACTTGTTAGTTCTTTCACTTAATTTCTTTTCTTTGAGTTTGATTTTTCTTCCGCGATTTTTCTAGGTGGTCAGTTCTGTATATTTACTATGGTTTAAGGTACATCCTTTTTGAGATTTCTAAAAGGTTATGAAAATGAAAAATATCAAGAGAGCGTATATTAGGGTGGAGCGTTTTTGGGCTTTTTTTTTATTTTGAAAATGGACATAGCACAGTAGTTGTGAAATGGTCTAAAAGTAACGCCTGAATTTTCCTGAATCTTTTCGTCAACGTTTAGGCCTCCCGGATTGACGTTAACGTCAAAATTAGCGGAAAATCCGGGTTTTTTGACGATAACTTGGCAACAATGGCAAATACGACAAAAATGCATAGAATCAGAGTTGTTGGAAATTAAATTTCCAACAACTCACTTCCTTATCGTTTTTTCTGTAAGTGCAACCGTTTTAGTGTAAAATTCGAAAACCCGTATTTTTCCGGAAATTTGGCACAAATTCTCGTTCAGTCCGGGAGAAATACGGTAGAAATACGGGAGAAAGAGGGCTAACTCGGAACAAATTGCGTGCGTGATAGACTTTTCCTTCAAGAATACCATCATCGGATTGGCCTGAATAACACAAAACATACAAAATGTTTTCCACGGTTCCACCGCGGAACACCCCTTAAAATTCCTAAAATTCAAAAAGGCGGCCGTGTTTAGATTATCAAGCATCAAGGTAATTTAAAATGTGCATCTCGTGTGGTATGAGGTGTCGTTTCCTATGTCTTTTTAGTCGTAAATTTCAAATATAGTGTTAAAAAAAGCCCCTGGTCAAACGGGATGCATCAAATCCAAGATGGCGGCCAACTTTGAACGGCGGGAGGGTACCTTATAAAGTTTGATTAGTGTATTACATTTTAAATTGAAAGTAAGGTAACGATCTCTGGATAATATTGGTTTATCATTTTGATAAGAGGTTCAAAATTAAATTGTCTTTTATAAGACCTCATCTATGATCCGATGAATGACACCTGGTCAGGAGGCGTAAAACTGGCAATCCAGGCCGAATCCGCAGGTTACTAGGGTTTAAGATGCCGCCATGTTTGCGGTGAATTTAGATAATTTTGTTCGTAAATTTTAAATTTACAACAGAAAATGCCCCAAAATCGTGCGGGGTCTCCCGACTATGGGATAAGTGGATGACTTCTAAATAAGAAGGACAGAACAGAAAATTTCAAGTGTGATAGTGAAAAATCTTTGAAATAAATCTGACAGTTTTCTGAAATGTTCACAATTAATACTACTCCTCAATAAGAGCTGAAATCGAGGATGGTGACTTTCTCCATATGAAGAATCAATAAAATGACACTACAAAATAAATGTACAATTCAAAGAGAGACTGCTGAATAAGCGATATTTACATGCAATTGAGTTACCTATTACTAAAAGAAAAAGAATGAAAAATTAAAACATTGATGATTCATACCACCGGATGATGTTCCTGAGTATATTTTTTGAAGAGTGGTGTCGTCAACTTTTGATTTTAGAGGAAATTGATTTTTTTTTTTTTATTTCGCCATGATTCTCACGTGACTTAATTTGCTTTATTCACATTTCGAATAAAAAGAGTCTTGGTTCTCAGGGGGAATAAAAGGATTTTAAACGCGAATATTACTTACACGGAAATCGGTACCTTATCTTCGAAGATGTATAATAAGACATATTTTAAAATAAGACGTAATGCTGAAAGGAACTATGTTGCACGCAAACACCGTTCAGATATTGCCTTCCAGCATTATAGCTACACCTCTGGTTAACACTACTGCCTTTTACAGACAGTCATCGTGGATTTGAGACACCCTGTTTGACCATTCATTTTCCACTTAATTTTTTACTTCACATTTTACGAAAATTACACAGGGAATAATACTTCACTTCACTCATTGCGTCATTATTTAACTTGCTAAGTCCTCCCACCCTTCAAACTTATCAGTCTTTTTTGAGTTTTGTGCAGCCCGATTAACCAGGTGGTATTCATCACGTCAAACTGGAAATCTACGACGAAAGTTACGATGAAACAACCAAAGCATGTATCGGTTTGCGATGTTGCAGAATTCTTGGAATTTTCAAACATTGCAAACGAGATACCAGGTTTGGGAATTTCGCCATCGATATCCTTTAGGGAACTAATACCTCACTTGACTTATCACGCAAAGAAGTGGTACTAGGACGAACTATCAGGGGGGAATGTGAGGGCATATGGGACAAACATACCCTCCTGCCGTTCAAAGTTGGCCGCCGTTCTGGATTTGATGCATCCCGTTTGACCAGGGGCTTTTTTTAACACTATATTTGAAATTTACGACTAAAAAGACATAGGAAACGACACCTCATACCACACGAGATGCACATTTTAAATTACCTTGATGCTTGATAATCTAAACACGGCCGCCTTTTTGAATTTTAGGAATTTTAAGGGGTGTTCCGCGGTGGAGCCGTGGAAAACATTTTGTATGTTTTGTGTTATTCAGGCCAATCCGATGATGGTATTCTTGAAGGAAAAGTCTATCACGCACGCAATTTGTTCCGAGTTAGCCCTCTTTCTCCCGTATTTCTACCGTATTTCTCCCGGACTGAACGAGAATTTGTGCCAAATTTCCGGAAAAATACGGGTTTTCGAATTTTACACTAAAACGGTTGCACTTACAGAAAAAACGATAAGGAAGTGAGTTGTTGGAAATTTAATTTCCAACAACTCTGATTCTATGCATTTTTGTCGTATTTGCCATTGTTGCCAAGTTATCGTCAAAAAACCCGGATTTTCCGCTAATTTTGACGTTAACGTCAATCCGGGAGGCCTAAACGTTGACGAAAAGATTCAGGAAAATTCAGGCGTTACTTTTAGACCATTTCACAACTACTGTGCTATGTCCATTTTCAAAATAAAAAAAAAGCCCAAAAACGCTTCACCCTAGCGTATATTCAATCAGAATTTTCAAAAGCAGTGTCTTATTAATACGACTTTAAAGGAATCTATACTGAAGTAATAAACATAAGAGTATATATTTTATGTCCTTCTTGATAGTTTGACATACTTTAATTTACAGCTGTTTAAGTTAAAACAATGCCTTGATAATAAAATTTAAGAAAAAAAAGAGGTTTAAATTCAAAGAGATGTGCCAATATTTCAATTTCATGGCAGACTATGACATTTCATTTTAAAAGATAAAAGTAAAATAATTTTTTTCATTCGCCAAAGACGAAATAATGTTAACTGTTAAAATTGACTGCATTAGGAGGCTTAATTGTATTTCTGACACGACGAGTAATATTTCATTAACTGCATTTACTTTTGATCAATAAGAGCTCGCAACTTGAAGTGTTTAAAAATAATGTTTTCCTTGCCACTCCAAATGTATTTTTGTCATCCTTAATCACTGAAAATTAATAATCTTACCAAAAGCTTTGATATGTTGAATTGAAATCTCATTATCTGAACAAAACGGCGGAAAGATTTTTTCTTTTATTCAATTGAAAACACTTCATTTTGCTTACTCTTGATGGCCAGGTGGTAAAAGCTGTGTCTGGACAATTAGAACAATGAAGTTAAATATGAATAATGAATGTCTATTTAAACGATAAAGCAAGAGAATGCCTGAAAAATCAAAAAATCAAACATCGATAGTAGTCGATTGTAATTACACTCATTATAATTGTAGGTGAAAGACAAAAAAACCAAACATGATTACATTAAATACGTCGTCAAAAGAAAACAATTAGAGCTAACCAAGTTTTTATTGGCATGTAAATAGAAACTGAAAAAATCTTTACCTAGTTGAGAATCTTTTGACATTTACCGTCTATACACCCCCGGACAATTTAGATCTTTTCCCAGAATATCCTGTCAACCCAAAATTAAGAGGCGAAAAGCCATCGAAATCAAAGAATCCCGACTGACAATACGAATCGTGTTTACCGAAACACCCGACAAATTAGGTTTCCTGACCAATAACAATAAAGAGCTCTTTAGGCTGTAGCATTAAAACACGCCGACAAATATAAAAAATACCGCCAGATTGGTCTAAAATCTATAGCAGGAATAAGAAAATACTGAAACAATAACTGAGAAACACACCCGATCAGTGAGTGACGGGCATATTGTGTCGCGCGAACCGAAAGGACCTGATTTTCTAGGACGTATCATTGAGGAGAGGTCAGGTAGTCGCGTTTGCTTTATGATGCGCCCGTTCGCCGTACCCAGAAAAGGTCTTTCTTATGTTACGCCTATTTGTTTTTCCTCAATAACTCGGTTAATATTGAGAGTTGAGCTTTCAAACAAGACTCAATGGAAAAAGGAGCTTGAGGTGAAGAAGGATCCATTCATAACTCAAAATGTCCAATTTTGATGTTACGCCCCTTCGTCGTGAGGGCGACGAATTACTAGGGAGCAACAGTCATCACCCTAGTTTCGGCTGTTGACTTACCTCCATGGTCGATGATGAGCTTCGGAGGACGTCATGAGCCAAACAAGTTTCCGAAACGTCGGCCATTTTCGGCTTGTTTGCAAAACGTAACTGCCAACACGTTGTTGAACATCAACCATGTAGGTAAGTCAACAGTTGAGTGCTGAAGTCCCAAAAGTAAAAGCTTCCACAATGGCCAAGATACTAGTGGAGGGTCTCTTGTCTCTGGCCATTACCCACATCTTGACCGCGTGTTTATCTTGTGAAGGTTAGGTTAGGTTAAGTTCATCTCGAGCTCCGATTGGCTACGATGATGAGCGGACGCTGCCTGAAAACCCGAGCAGGGCCGGCTGCTGCGCACCGCCCTCCGCTCACCGCCGAACGACTGCTTCACTCAGTGAAGAAAAGGGGAGAGGGGTGGTTTTTAACTCACTTTTCGACCCAGAAATCGTTGTGAAGAGCCAAAAACCTAGTCTGTAACTGATTCATCTTATCTTCAGGTATCCGTCAAGATAAGAAAAGTGAGTTTAGTCGGATAACTCGATTTTTCCTGATATTTTGAAAAGCTCATATTAGCACGCAGTTTAGATAGCAAAAACCCGTGGCCATGTGTTGTGGCGTCAAGTCACGTGATTTAGAGGCGCAGAAAGGAGTCCCGTTTCAAATCGTTTCTGAACTTTCAACGCTTTTTCTCCATGTTCCAATCATCAGAAAATTTTTAAAAAAATACCTTAACAATCGGCACACCACCAACTTGTAGAAACTGAATTAAAAAAAATGCATGCAATAACCCCATTTGCTATACAACGAGGCAGTCTCAATGGTTGGAAGGCAAAATTGGCCACGGGTGAATGATGATGGAGAGACTTTAAATTTGTTTTCATTTGAATGTTTTCTGATAATGTTGAGTTTCAGAGCTTTGTGACTTCTCTATTCCAAGAAAGATAGATGTGATAGATAACAGTTTTTTTTTAATAACGAGAACAAAGATCGGTATCATCTACAGTTACCAAACGTAACCCCATGGCATACAGGCCATCAGGATTCCTATGGAGGATTCACTAACAATTGTTTTTTCTATCACAATACTCTGCTTACACGCACGTATAAATGTGAAGTAAAATCTAATAACTAAAATCTGGAAGGACAAATTCAAACTTAAAAATTAAACTCTGAAACTCAAAACTGACATATAAGTAGGGTATAAATTTGCCTCCAGATACAACATGAAATCAGGCGTGTATGGTAGGTTCTCTTTTCCAAGTGCAAGGCACCTTAAAATGAAAAAAAGTGAAGCACGTTATTTGCTACGGTGAGCCTGGATGAATTTGAATTTTTTGACAAGTCACAAGCAAAAACTCTTCAGAACTTTGGAGTGTCTTCCTAGTAATTTAAACCCACAAAGAAAAAGGAATTCGTCCAACACCTGGAATACTAAGTCTATTTAAAGGTGTTTTGGCCGTAAGCTAGGCAAATTGGCAGAAATGTGGCGACAAAAAAAGAAAAAGAAAAAAAAAGGAGAATAACCCTCTCTTCTCACAAGGGAGGCTTGGGAGGGGGGGGGAGAGAAGATGATAAGACAAGAGCAGACTGGCCAGACCGTAACTCTTTCCTTTGTCTGAAGAAAAAGAATGAAACAACCCCTAGGCTAACTAGCCAGACCAGTCAAGGCATAGCCAGACAGTGCCTCTTGCCCTACAGAAAGGTGGATAGACGAAGAGGAGGGTTGAAAGAGCTGGTTGGCCAGACCAATCAAGACAAACGGCCAGAACGCGCCTCTTGCTATTTTGGAAGGAAACGGAGAGAAATCCTCAGAGCTGATCGGCCAACCGATCAGGGTTGGCGGCCAGAGTGCCCCTTCCTCTAAGGGAAGGAAGAATGTCCGTGTAAAATAAAATATATAATAAAAAGGGGGAAAATAATCAACTCACTGAATGAGATAAAAAGGCAGAATTTTAATATAAAAAGGGAGAATAATTCGTATTAAAAAGAGAAACAAAAGGGGCGAAACTGACTAAAAAAATTAATAAAAGGAAACAGAAAAAGAAGAAAGAAACCAGAGAAAAAACTGACTGATTCAATTTCCTGGGAATCCAACAAACCAACCGAAATAACCGATGTAACCAACTTAACCGACCAGGAACAACACCTAGATACTAGATCCCTTCTGATCTCGGAGATCAAGATGCCGTGATGCCCAGATGCTCGAAGATCCGTGCACCACGGAAGCTCTCGCCGACCTGAATTTTGCGGACGCGACCAGAGATCCTTGCAGCCCCCGAAGCACCTCAGGCCAGTGGTGGGCGTAGTTGAATCAACACACTGCCCTGTCACCGGAAAAACAAGTGTTTTCTAGCGGAAAAGGACAGGCGCGATCCCACCTCTCTCTCGTTCTGGCCCGAATTGCTACAGAAACTCCCGAGAGTATTTCCCTGATCAACACAGAAGCAAGTCCTATTATATAGTTAGGAACAAAACCTTGATAGTTTTAACGCCAAAGTTTGTTAGATCTGATTATTCTAAGTATCTGAATAATTAGATCACCAATTTCAATCATGAGAAAATTTGTGGGTGTCTAAAGTTTCCCCTCAGAGCCAAAAATTGCATACGCTTCCTTAAGAGCTTTCCAAAAAAATAGACTCTCTTTGAACAGTCCATACAGCCATCGAACCAAAGTTAATATACAAGCTCAAAATAACGCACAACTCTGCAAAATATTTCAAGATACAGTATAGAGCTGGTTTCCGAATTACAGGGTTTAGACAGCGTCTAAATCCCAACTAATTTTTTCTGTTTTCTTGTTGAGTTGATGTTGCTACAAGGTTCTAATCATTGTTTAACATATTGACCATATCCATTCCTGTGTCTTTCTACACATAGAATTAATCTATAAGGTCAACGAGTTGATTTATCGATTTGCAATAAAGATTTGGGGATACTTCAGGTCCCTAAAAATTACCAAAAAATAAAAAAAATGGGTGGTATATGTATTTGGGTGCTTAAAATAACCATATTTAAGAAACTTTGGCATTATACATATCAAGGACAAATTATTTCAAAAATAAAACCAGTAATTTGGCTGCTTTAGCCCCAAAAGCACCTTTAAATTGTCTTTAAATGAACAAGCTGTCTACAGATATTTATTCTTGTCGGCCTAAAGGACTAGAAAGACTCTCTGCTTCAAGATGCTGAGAAGTTTTTGCTTGTGGCTATTTAGCAAATATAAATGCGGTGTGGCACACGGAAAAGCGTTCAACTCTCTGAGGTTATTGAAAAATAAGGCTTTGGTGATTTTTCAATTTTTTAGTTGCCATGCAGTCACGTTTTGGGTATTCATAACAGGAGCTATCTTGCCTCTGTGTAGTATAAACCTCTGAGGGCACAAGGTGTACTTGGCTTATAGATTTAATGTACTTGTGGGGCGCGCTGCTGTCAAGTGTACTGCTGGTATATATACCGTCAAATTTTGTGCCTCCATCAAGTCCATGCCCTAGCCGCATGGAGGGCGTTCTTAACAAAAGGTTGAAGGGATGCAAGTTCTGTACCCAACACGTCCTTTTCTTATATATTTAAAATTATTCTTTTGTGATTTTAATAAGTTTCCAAACCTTCCCTTTTTTGATATGTCCTACTTTTCGCAACTGGTAAGCAGTCATAGATCACTTTAAGAATAAGTACATTAGCGACTTTAAGGTTACATTAGGTTAGGTTGGAAGTTAGTTTTAGCTCTCCGCGAACTGCCTCTTTTTCTTGCACACACTCATGCTCAGTCTTTCAGGCAAAATATTAATAAATGGTGCATTCTAAAAATTCAAGGAATAATAAACAGTTATTGTAGTATTCCCGGTCCACCTACATTAGAGGTAGACAAAGAGTATTGAAAAGTAGACGCTTGTGAACCAATAAAATTGAATGGGCTGTCCGTATGTACTTTATGCAGTAGGTTCTGTGCCAAGGTTGATAGACCCAGGTCAGTCCGTTAACAAGATGTTCTTTGGAATTTCCCAATCTGGCGACAAATTTCCCTGATTTGCTGTTTCACCACAATTCAAATGTTTCCCGATATGCGCTGCTCCATTGCATGGTTCCTCTCGATCTCCCCGTTCTGCATAAGACCAATGTAATTGGATTGGAGGAACAGCACAGAGTGGGACCATTTGGTAATGGAGACAACCATTGCTGCTGTTTTCCAAAGATTATCATACTCAACTTTCCTAACGGACTGACCTGAGTCTATCGACCTTGGTTCGGTACAGTGAGTAGACTTCAGAGGTCCACCATAGAAGTTAAATAATTCTGGTTCGAATAGCGCCTTTTAGGCATCCTTGTTAGTTTTAACACCCACATGTACGATGGGATGTGTACCTTTTTAATTGGTGTTTCGAAATTCAAGAATTTGTACTTACGCCTCCTTGACAACTTCATTCCATTTTTAAAGGGTTCGATATGTCTCTCGCAGTGTTCACCGGCTTCCTTGATGTACAGTTCATTCTCAGAGAAAATAAATCCAACAAAACACTCATAAGACTCAACATCTGTGCGTTGAGTATATGTGTAGGTCAATCCTCCTTCTTCCCATTGACCAAGACATCGATATTGTCGTTCTGAAAGAAAACAGTAAGAAGATGAATAAATTTTGAGAATTCTAACAGCTGTCCAAAGAAGACCAAAGGTTCAAAAGATTTCGACCTTCCAGTGAAGATTCTTACCAACACAGTACAGAAATGATACAAAACAAATTCCTTCTTCTCTTGTACTTCAAAAAGTACCATGTCAATTTCCCCTCAGAAGGCATGTGGGTGAACTGAGGTCCTTGTTCTCCGTTCATCAACTTCAAACAAGAAGAAAAATAGCGGATCTTGTTTCCTATTAAAGATAGAAAATGGTTTAATTGATAGCCCTGCACTTATTGAGAAAATTAAATTGGCGGTGCCAGATCGGGGCTAAGACCTTCTCCAAAGTTAATTCATGTGCCAAGGGCAAGGACCTCACATCGCCAGCATGTTCATCTAATTCGAGCGTGCTCTGAGGGAAATGATACTCTGGCAGATGGGAGCTGTTTGAATTTTTTCGGCGGTTCAAAGGGGGCTTTTGTTCGGAATTGTCTTGGGTGGCTCACCAATGATGGTGCTGAGCTCTGGTCGCTTTAATTAATGATAAGTGAGTGAAATTGGGCGGCTGGGGATCGGTCTAGACGCGGTTGAGTCGCCTAAGGCTGTATTAAGTGGGGGCTCCTATCTTCTATATTTACTAAATGTTCGCTATTTACTCTATTTTTTCTATTTACTCGTCTTTTTTATTGTCTTTTTGCATAATTTCAGTTCTGAATTTAATTAGATGTTTGGCACAGGTACACCCAAATATTCCATTCTTTTAAAGTCATTTACTCTTAATTTAAGAGCAAATTGTTTGGTTTTTTTTTTCTTTTTTTTTTTTTTTTTTTTTTTTTTTTTTAATTGTACAGGTTATAGTTGAGATCCAAACCCATATTTTTGTATGATTAATTAATATTGTCAGTTTGGTATGTTTTGGGGCCCTAATGGCCCTGTATATCTTTATGTAGTTAAATAAATAAATGAAGACAAATTTGAGTTTAAAGTTGAGTAAAACTGTATGCAGATAAGGCCTTGTTAAAGCGTGGTTCGTGGAACTTTAGGGCAAATTGGTCCCACAAACTGGGGTACTGCAGTGTAAATTATAGCCGAGTAATAAAACGCTCTGGGAACAAGTTTTGCAAACCACGCTGGTGTGGACAAGGCATAATAAAGACAACGGTTTCTAACACAAATTGTCTCTTAGCAGGTATAGTATCACAAGCATCGTTTGTGCTAAGGCACTATGCTGCCAAATTTCTCCACCTTGTCCAATTTTTACGGAAAAAATAATGAACAGAATCACTTAAAAATTTTACCTAATAATTCTATTATCATCAAGGTTAATCCCTCATGAAAGTATGCGCTAAAGTTATAAAGAAAAAATGAAAGCAATATTAAGATGTTCAGCATAGCATCAAGGCAAGAATGGCGCTTGTGATACTTAGGCCAGAAGATGACGAAATAATGTTATGGGGCAAAAAAAGAATAGAAACAGCTGTTATTTTAGATCCTGATTGGTCGGTTCCCTTACAACAGGGACTGCTGTTTTCAGATCATTCAAATTATTGAAACAGATATTTAGGGACTGTTTATGCATAAACTTGAAAATTTTTCCACTCAAATTCAACATACAATTGGACCGAATTTTGCAATTAGGAACCATAATTTCTGGCTCAATTTAGAAACGACATATATACCATTAGTACCCGATGAACATAGGTGTTTTTACGGATGAACTAGAAATTATAGTTCCTAATTGCAAAATGCAATCCAATTGTTGTTTGTTTAAAATTAAAGAGGTGTTTGAAAATCACACACATGCAAGAAATGATAGGGAGGGAGAGAAATTCTCGACTGAGCTGCCTACATTGTAAGAGAACGTAATTTGGAGCATTGAGTGGTGGTCGGATGAGTACTTTTGACCAGATAATGCAATTCTAGGTGGAATGAAGAAACAAATAAACTTTTGGTCTTGTGATGGGGGAAAAAGGAACAGTTGGACATTGTGCACTGGTGGATAGGATTCTGCCCTCAATGGTTGAACATGCAGTCAACTAGCTGACAGGACTAGAGATGGCCGAGTTGAACTGTTGAATCACTCATTTTTAGCCTCATTTTTTATTCATTTTATTTCTATTCATAATGGTCCGGGTATTTATTATTTTTCTTTTTTTTTAGAAAAAAAAAAATAGTTAGTTAAGAGGGGTTCTTATTTTGTTGGTACTTCCTAGATTGGAATTTACTAGTGCCATTCTAATAATTATCAATTTAAGAGGTCATTCCCTTCCAAGAGCTAACAAGATTAAATGAAGAGAGATGTTAAAAAATAAAAGAATATAATTGGAGGAAAAGCCTTGAGAATTTATTCTCTCCTCTTGATTGAATAAATCAATGTAAGATACAGGAGAACATTTTAAGATTGATTCAAACTTAAAGTCATGAATAATACAAGGTCTGTTAGATAAGAAACCGGAGTTGGGTGATAATTAGCTCATTTTGCGTCAAAATTAGGTTTCCTTGGACTTTCCTGATAGCTGATAAAATACTGGAGAACGCTAGATTCATGGATTTTGTTTACTTTGATCAGTGTTCATTCTGTGTCACCTTGAATACCAGCAAGTCAGGTGCGTTCTGCGATTTTTTTCATGCAACCACTGATAGAGCAAAGATTTAACATTAAATTTTGTTTTAAACTCAGTATACCTTGTACCAAAACTTTTGATATGTTAACTAAAGTTTACTAAGATCATTTTATAAGTTATCTCAGTGTTTTGAATGACCTAAACGGTTCAAAACTGGTCAGGAGTCCGTCGGAGATGAGGAGAACGGGAATCGACCATCAACGGCAACTAACATTTTGAAATGCAGGCTAAAGTCCTCGAAAATGGTCGTTTCGAGCTCTCTAGGCAGTGTGATATTTCTGAGGACTCTGCACATACAATTTTGATAGAATATTTATACATGCATCGAGTTTCAGCTAAACTTGTCCTGTGATTGTATATTCAACAAAAATCCAACCAAATGTCAATTTCCCTTGAGCTTCTTGAACGTTCTAACAATTATCCTACATTTTTGGATACAATAATTGAGGAGCATTCTGGAAAACGGGCACATATGCATTAGTACCCTTTTTCTGGAAATGGCAGGAATGGATTCCTCGTATCCTAATGTACCAACGTCCCCAGTTTTAGCTTAATTAATCAATTTTTGGAGCTAAGAGACTAATTTTTGTGAGGCTGTCATCTGTCTCAGGCGTATTTCATCTATTTGCCTCTGGGTACGGTCGCCGCGACGTTGAGGAGATAGCGCGCAGGCAGGCAAGCAGGTGATGGAATGGGTACTGATAAGGATCCCTCACTACAGATGCATCGCACTGATTCTGCTAACCAATGCAATATCATCGGGTTGCAGTGATTGTCAGCGCGTTGCACCAGTTACACGTGAATTTTTGTAATTATTACTAATTCAATTTTTATTGGTCTTTTATTGTGAGTTTGAAATTTTCGAGTTTTTCGCAAGTTTCGCTGTCTTTTTCATTTAATGGTCGAAGATGATCCCTCCGCGCGTTCGCGATCGAAATTATTATTTATTAATTTATCGGAATTATTTACTTTTGTTTAGAAACTCTTTAAAGTCTCGAAAATGCAGCTTTAAAAGCCAAAACCTATGACCACCGGTCCATTTCCGGAAAAAGGGCACATAATGGAAAATTTTAAAAAATTCCTCCCACAACACTGAGAGAAGTGTACGTTTTACCAGTGGTCGTTATTCATTCTAGGGTGTATGAACGTTGATATGAGTGCCCCAGTTCTGATGTATGTCATCATCAGTGTCCAGGAAGTAAGAATGAAAACTTCAAATGCATTTTTCTCACAACGCGTTTTTTCGGTATGTGCCCTATTCCCGGAAAGCTCCTCAATTTCCAGTGACAAAATTTAGGTGTACGGCTACGAGATGGAGACGATATTCCAATCATCCATGTGAGTTCAAAACGGTAGTGCAAGACCAAAATATGAGCGATAAGTTCGGTCAAACATAGAAATCGCAGAACACCCATGAGGTTGCCTTACTTTAAGCCACAAAAGCTAATTACGTTCTTCCAAATTTGTGAATGTAGCGTTCTTAAATACATTTTCAGCTATCAGGAAAGTCCAAGAAAACCTGATTCGGACGCACGATGGGCTAGTGATCACCAAAATTCGGTTTCTCCTCTAACAGACCTCGTATTTGTAGAAAGTAATGGGTGAAACTTAAAAGACAGACAAGGAATACCATAGAGGTGTAAAAAAGAGAGGAATCAGAATTTAAGACACGCAATTTCAGACATGCAAAAATGGGGAAAAAACGAGAAATTACACTGGCTGCAATAATACTTGAAGAAATACACCAGATCAATAACTTAGAATTTGTTGCCTCTGCTGACAGGAATAGTGCACTCACGAAAAAATTAATGAAGCTTCGTCTGTAAGTAATGGTAAAAGCACACAGTTGTTTCTTTCTAAAGAGATGGATTGGAGGACACCTCCTGAGATGCAAAGACTGAGTCAATAGATTTTGTAGGAAAAGCACCTGAGGACTCATAAAACACTACGAATCAAAAACAAAAACATGCGTGAGTGCTGAAAACCAGAGCTGCAAAATCCACTCGTGATTCAACACACATAAGTAGGATAGTACCTTCTCGTTTGAAAGACCAACTAGTTGGTGAAGTCATCACTGGACTGTTGGCTTGTGGTCGTACAGGCAAGGCATACGAAGGTATTGGTACAGGTGGAAGTGCAATTGGAGTTCTTCGGCCAAGGTTTTTAGCTGCATTCACTGGATCAAGCTTGGGTTTGTCTGCAACTTTTCGTGCGCTTGGATAGTTCGGCTCAGAATTGTTCCATTCATAATGCCGGAAGTAATCAAATACAGGAGGGTCTGCTTTGGTGTTAGGTAGTCGTTGCTTTGGGCTTGGGCTGGAAAAGTTTTTCTGATTATTAAAACTTGAGTATTCCACAGGGTTGCTGGGAGACTGGAGGTGCCTCGAGTCAGCAAAGTAGGTGGATGACGAGGAGCCATTGGACCTCAAATCAGTCTCTTTGCGAAGATTATAATTATCAGACTTGTACAGATAATGAGAATCAATGGGAGCCATTATATCAGGATTGACATTGCGGTGCTGATCATTGGTTGGTGAAGTTGCCATATCAATAGACATTTTTGAGTGATTTGATAGAGTAAGATAGTCATTCCCGATAAACTGGTGAGTTGCATTTAATGGAGGCATTGAGACAGAATGCTCCACATTTACAACTGGGTCAAGCGTCATGCCATGAGCCAATGACTCTTCATTTGATATGTTCTCTGGTTTGAAGACAATTAATGAAGAGGTGAGAGAAAAGTTTCGACTCCGAGGCCTTGTGTCATAATTACGTCCTCCTTCCCAGTTGCGCCTCTCCAAAAATTTGGGTGGTAGCTCAGAAATAATACTAATTTTGCGGTTTGCTCCTGCTATATTTTCATAGCCCTGAGCATAGACATCCAATGGGCGCTCATTGTAGGAACGTCTGTTTTCATTAGCCTGGTAAACTGGAAACTCTCGGTGTCTATCTTGCAAGTATTGAACTGTGGAGGAAAACTGAGGTGTAGATGAAAATTGGTGCGAAGTTGAATACTGCAAGGAGGAAAAAAGTGGCATAGTTGAAAACTGCAAGTTTGTGTAATTTGTCGCAAGGTTATCATTATTAGCTCTCCCATTGATATGATAAGTTGAAGGCGTGTCTGCATACAGATTATAGAATTCTGGTTTGGGAGCATTGGGAGAATACTGCCGACCACGCGCATTAAAATTCCTTGGTCCACCGAAGTATGTCATTTCTGGATGTTGAAGTGAGCTGTAAGTCCAAATTCTTTTGGACTCCTCTAGCTTTGGGTTCTGATTCTTGGATGAGTCTTGAATTGGGTGTCTAGCATGAGGGATTAGTTTTGGTGTCACTTCAGTTACAGGTCTTAGAGTCGATTTAACAGTGGAGGGAATCATTATGAAAGTGGATTGATTGGGAAATGAGAACAGGTTTTGATGCGATAACTTGGATGGGAACGAGCTGTTGATGTATTGATGTGTGAAGCGATGAAATGGAGTTTCAGAAGTTGGGGGGGAGTAACTGGTGGGCTCTTCCAGTGGCCAGGGTTGACTGATAAACTGTTGCTTTAAGTATGGAATATGTCGGACCTCAGTTCGGTCTTCATGTTTTGGAGATGTCTTTAGATCCTCATTTGAATTTCTTTTATACCTGCGCCACTTTTCTAGTTTGGATGGTATGCCTGGTAAAATGATGATACATTCGTAAACAATTTGTTTCTCACTTGAAAAAAAAAAAAATAATAAAATAGATGAACAAAGAAGTTGTTCCGTCTATAATTGTTGGAACTGGGCCCAGAACGAAATCTTCTCAGAATTTTAAAAACTGAAATGGTCAGAGACGCCCAAAACTGGTCGAATGTTTTATCTGGCCCTGCTTAAGGAGGAGAGAAAAGTACTGAATTACAAGCAATTATGTACTGAAAGAAAGCTTTTTTAACGACCTTGGTTTTAAAAAAAGTTTTGCTCGATTTCTAAACCGTTCAAAAGTTAAGGGCAAAAACTGTTATACATACAACACCCTGCTCTCCTTACCAAGGGGGCCAGGTAAAAAATTCGCTCGTTTTTGGGCGTCCCAGACCATACCCTTCAATACTTGAAATGTGAAGATTTCGTTCTGGGCCCAGTTCCAATCACCGATGGAAAAACTTCTTTCTTCTTCTTTCTCCCTAAGAACTGAGCAATAATTGATCATTTTTAGATGATAGCGCACACAGAATTTTAAAAAGCCTGTGGAAAAATTTACTTTTGTTTAAGGAGGAAGGACATGATTCCTGCCAATAAGTATTGTTAGATCATACAGTGAAATCTTGCTAAGTCGATTAGTCCAAGGACTAGAAAACGTTTCGACTCGAGTGGCATTTTGAGTTTTCTATTTTGCCTCTTGACATGAAATTTATGAGGATGAGGTAAAATTCTAACTGAGGCGACCACACTGTCTCGGTCTATCACTACACGGAAAAAAAAAGAATTGCTGATTCAGCAACTCAATTGCTAAAAGCAGTGAGTGCAATGTTTCAATGTAGATTTTACAACACAAAAATGCTACTTTAACCACCCCCGTGGTTAAATTAGTTTACAATGTGGTTAAAGTAACATTTTTGTGTTGTAAAATCTACATTGAAACATTGCACTCACTGCTTTTAGCAATTGAATTGCTGAATCAGCAATTCTTTTTTTTTCCGTGTACCAATATCAGGATTGTCGGCAGATATGTGTGGAATGAGGAGTAGGAAGCAAACAGATCACGGGGCTGGTCAATTAGGAGAAGGGATAGGTTGACGCCCTCAACAAGGGTCCAGTTTGGTGAGTCCTTGGAGTTTGGATGCCGTTGCACACACTTCGTAGCGCAAGTATTATTATTGGAGATACTACAATGCAAATACCCAATGCTTCATCAGTCCAGGATGTCGTTGTGGCACAGTTTGCAGGTCAGTAATGATGGTATAAAAGATAATGAAGAGAAGAGGACCATCCTTAGCCCTCCAAAATCGCTTTACTGCAGCACAGGCACACGCAGGCTTCGACAGCCTTCAAAAGCTTTTCTGCCAGCATACCTAATGAATTTCACTTTTTACACTGAGTCACGGGTTATCGCTGAGGATGAGGGCAGAGCCCTTGAAAGCCATTCAATTTTAATAAAATAAAAGGTGCAATTGAGTCCCATACATTATTACTTTTTATATATTCAACTTGTGCTGACTTCATGAGTGTTTCTGCATAAGTTTTATGGAAAGATATCAGAGGTTACAGGAATACAGGTATATTACCTCACATTTTGTTCATCATGCATGCGTTCATTTTTTTAAATTCCTCTTTTTTCTTATTTTTTAACATCAAAATTTTGTTAGGTTTTTAAGAAATCTTTAGAACTAAGCAGCCTTTCCTTGGCCAAAAAATGAAAAAAATTGTGAATTTGTCGGCATTGTAATGCTCTACATTGCGCCTTAGGCAGTGTCTGGAGATCAGAAAGATTTTTATCTTGACTGGAGTTCGACTTGCAAGATTTCACTGCATTTTCCAAAGGATTGTTCTTGATTTCTTTTACAAATCATAATGCAATTGAGTTTCAAAAGAGTTAGATACCAACATTTCAAAGTTTGCTCAAAGTAGATGGATCTTATGACATGAATCATGTGACAAATATGTGATACAAGTCATGCAGCAGCTGAGGACTAGTGATAAAAATTTTGTTATTTTGAAAGGAAATAATCATCAAGTTGATTAATGAAACTGAATTTAATCATCAAGATTCTATGTGCCATTATTTCCCTACCTCCCTAGTGTAATTTTGCTCTGGTTGATCTATCTTCCAAGTCAGTGTGGTACTACTGTATGAACAGCTGCTCAGCCGTCAGGTTCTACTTGCAGCGGACGCCGAGAGTACTACACTATCTTGTTTTTAGCGTATTTTCCGAAGAAAATACACTATTGCATTCTCCCATGATGTCGGACCCAGACCCCAGACCTTGTGAAGAGCACCGATCACGGGTCGTAGATCACAAAAATATATGCCATTCAAATTCATGTGTATGTAGTATGTATGTATGTATGTATGTATGTATGTATGTATGGTTGGTTGGTAAATACATTTGTTTGGTGCTTTAACATTGAAGCCATTAACACCGTAGATGAGGAGAGATCGTCAAAAAAACATAATGTAAATATTTAAGAAGTAGGAGTCACAAAAAGGGTAGTAGAAAATTAAAATTGTATGTATGGTTGGTTGGTAAATACATTTATTTGGTGCTTTAACATTGAAGCCATTAACACCGTAGATATGTATGTATGTATGTATGTACTGTATGTATGTACTGTATGTATGTACTGTATGTATGTACTGTATGTATGTACTGTATGTATGTGCCGTATGTGCCGTATGTGCCGTATGTGCCGTATGTGCCGTATGTGCCGTATGTGCCGTATGTACCGTATGTACCGTATGTACCGTATGTACCGTATGTACCGTATGTACCGTATGTACCGTATGTACCGTATGTACCGTATGTACCGTATGTACCGTATGTACTGTATGTACTGTATGTACTGTATGTACTGTATGTACTGTATGTACTGTATGTACTGTATGTACTGTATGTACTGTATGTACTGTATGTACTGTATGTACTGTATGTACAGTGGATGCGCGGGACACTTAGATAGAAGAAAAACTAGATGTGCAGACAACCCTGAAAAGACGCGCGCGAAGCCGCGAGTAAAAAATGAGGGGGGCAGCGGGGGTGTTTTGGATGTTTCCGTACTTGAAGGGGGTGGTATTCCCTGTATTTCTATGCTCCGCAACGTTTCAAGGGTCCTCCTCAAGTTGGACAATAGTTTCGGGCATTATTTGTAGTGAATTTCCCGGTTTTTACCCGCTCTACAACCAAAAATAAGGGGGGCAGGGGGCTAAGAGTTTTGAAAACTTCTTTTTATGTCGCAGGCTGCGTTTGCGTTAACATTGGCAAGAAGTTCCACTCGGACTTGATGTTTGAAGCTCTTCTGTGACTTTTTGCATTTTACTGCAATGTTTCATTGTAACAGGCCCATCCCCCTCTACGGTGGGGCTGTGGTGGCCCGGGGGCAAGTTGAAGACTTTGGTATCAGGCTTGGAGTATTCGAGAACTATTTGAAAAGAGAAACGGTATGTCCAGGAGCCGCCGAAGCTACTCTAAAAAATGAAGGTACGGACCTCCTAAATAACCTTTGGACCCCCTTAACTTTTAATAGGGGGGTCAAATCGACTTCCAGTTTGCGCCAAAAAATTTCTTTTTTCATGCTCTTTCTAACAATGTATCACATGATGGGGGTTGCCATCTGAAATTTTTTAGTTGCTCCCCTCCCCCCTCCCCCTGGGGGGGGGGGAAGAACTGGAAAGTACCTCAAAAAGTTTCCCCCTCGATATGAGGAAGGACGCCACAAATCGCAAATCGATATCATAATTAGAACTAAAGTTATGGCCAGTGTTGCGTAACTTTTGAATAACCCTGTATGTAATGATATGTGTTTGACTACGTGACCTTTTTCTGAGAATATATTTAGATTCATTTTTCAAAGGAGATCTCTTTTGTTTCTCTAACTCCACCCTTCCTTAAGATCAAAAGGTCACAAATGGTAGCAGAGCGTGGTTAAGAACACATTTATTTACTGTCTCTGAAATTTCTTTGCAACTTGAAAGTTCTTAGTGAATTCCATATTGTTGAATATTTTGTATTGGATCAAAGTTTATTGAATTTATTGATCTGAGTTCATTAAGTTTTTGAATATTTTGTATTGGATCATGGTCTATTGAATTTATTGATCCGAGTTCATAAGTTTTGAATACTTTGTATTGAAGCAAGGTCTATTGAATTTATTGATCTGAGCTTATTAAGTTTTTGGGTATTTTATATTGATCAAAGTTTTATTGATATCCTTGAAAGTTCCTTATTTTCTGGACTTGAGTCTAAAGTTGATTAATGTTTTTGATGAAGAATTTATTAAGCTCCTCACTCAAATTAAATGATTGAATTAGATTTGAGGAGCGGGTATTTTTTTTACGATATTTTGATGATGTTAGTTTGATCATGTGTTTTGAAGATTTTATTGAGCTCCTCACTCAACAGATTAAATGAGTGAATTAGATTGGAGGAGGGAGTATTTTTTGATGATACTTTCAATGGAGATTTAAAGTAAATTTTTAGAATTAAGTTTAAATTTTAAGAAAATGCTTATGTGTGTACTAATATTTGAGGACACCGCACCAAGAAAAGCCTATAACTGGAAACCGCGTTTTGAGAAAAACGCATTTAAAGTTTTGTTTTTGATGTACTGCGCAGACTTTTCTATGCAGGTACCCTGTTTTGGTGTTTTTGGGTGACCTAACCCTTCTATTAAAGGATGCCGGGTAGATTTGGCGATACATTTTAATATATTTAATTTAAAAAAGCGGTTAATAGGCCATTATTACGCCCAACAGTCATTTTGGTGGCAATGTGAAGTATAAATCATTTTAATCACACATGATTAACGCAAAAAGAAAGAATATCGATAATGAGTAAAGAAAGGGGTAACTAGCACCTTAAAGGCCCTTAAGTTTATAGGCCCGTTTATAGGTCGTTCTTGCACCCATCGATCCAGAGGCCTGACTTAACTCGGAAAAAAAAGGTTTTTCGACCTCGAGCCGTTACCTATCTATATTCTATCGCTACCACAGCATAGTCCAGGGTACGTAGAATCCGAAAAGCAGATGGGCGTAATAACGACCTATACGCCTATAGGCTGTTCTTGGTGCGGTGTCCTCATTTGTGAGTTTTTAAGTCTGTTACAGGGCTTAGGGCAGCAGCAGTCAGAGGCGATGAATACAATAAAAAATTGATCAAAGAACATTCGAAAGGCAGTTCGCAATTAGGGGCTACTAAAAATGGAACGCACGACGAAACACGCACACTTGAAAATCCGCACCGGCTCCTGACCAAAGTTCAAGGTTTTCCGAAAATCATGGCAAATTCTTGAGAGATAAACAAGAAAAAAAGATAGTGTAGTACTCTTGGCGTCCGCTGCAAGCAGCACCTGACGGCCGAGCAGCTGTTCATACAGTAGTACCACACTAACTTAGAAGATAAATCAACCAGAACAAAATTACACAAGAGAGGTAGGAAAACAACGGCACATCTACTCTGAATTAAACAAAAGAGCACATGACTGGGTTTATGCGTTTTCCTCTGCATGGGATAAAAAGAGAGTTATTTTGTGTTTCAATGAAGATGATACAAACCATCAATTATGTCTTGCCGTTGACAGTCTGAAACTGTGTAGTACATGATTTCTGGCTTTTGACAATCAGAGGATAGCCTTGCACACAAGCCATCAGCATCTGGGATCATGCCGTTGTATTCACCCATGACTGGACAAGGAGATTCCTCCAACCGTTGCATTTCTGGAAGAGGTACAAAAAAAATTGAATTAGAGATATTAAGCTAATTTTCCTTTTGATATTTATTACATAAACCTGACGGAAATGCATCAAAATTGTTTCAGTGAACAGACAAATTTATAGATAATCACATTTACATAAAGAGAGCTGTTTTGCCTTCTCTTTCCTTTCTCTCACCTACAGATAACTCAAAAAATCCCGCCAAATAAGAACAAAGCTGTAGAGAAAACAAGTAGCAAAAGCTACCTGCTGAGGGGGCGCCGCCCCCCCAGACTCCCCCTTTCAAATTATATATGTGAGACTTTGAGTATCATAGAAGTCGTGCGGCGACATGCCGAATGAAATGCCACAATTAAAATTATTGGATCAGATGATGAGCTGATAAAAGCCTTACCTAGTAATTTGGGAACATTTCTGACACAGTTTGGTTGGTTTAACTATCACTTTGATTTGCGAAATACAACTCGTTTTCACTTCGTATGTAGTTAAATTTGATTTTGACTGACTTAGTCTCTGATGGATTCAAACTCATAATATACATTTAGGTTCCAGGGAAAGAAAAATGCAGATGAGCTACACTTCACATGCATATAGATTGATTAAAAATAAATAATCCGAAGAAGTGATGGAATAAATGATAATTGTTTACTACAGTAAATACTATACCTAGGATTCCTAGGAATTTTAAATAAAATCCCACCCATCACTAAAATAACCCATAATGTATATACTCGTGGTGCCTGCTCTCGGCTCGATTTCGCCGAATGGAATTCTTCATCATCGCGGTTGTCCTTGTTGCGTGCGGGAGGAAATGAAGGCGCGCTCGCAGTAGCAAGAAGCAGACGCGCCAGGTTGCTTGCGACGCGTGAATGTAGCTTAACCTCCACAGATTAACAAATCGTCGAGCAGTCACGCGAAAAGTCCTATACCTACATAGAGAAAAAAAAGGAGGTATTTGCATATTGAGGTTTGTTTACCCTATGACGTAGGTCCGTACAACCTGGCCAGCGAAATCCGAAATTCGAACTATGAAAAATTGACCACAATTTCCGATTTTCCGAGGTGTGAAATACACAACTCAGCAGAAGAAAGAAAGAAAACTCGATTTGATATTTCTAGAGATAAATGTATCGATACGGACGATATATTAACGTTGAAATATCGATACGAGTTTTTGGTCTAAAAAATCGATATTCTGGTGGCGCGGAGCGTCTTCGAGGGGTTGGGCCGCGTAGTGGCCAGTCGCCAGACGATAGAATAATCGCACCCGAAGCCCGAACCCAAATTGAGCCTCATTCGAGCGGGCCTCACAGCGGCCCCGCTAGGCTAGCGGCCACCGACCCTCGGAAAAGTCATAAAAACGAATGACTCAAGTGCACGTGCAGGGCTCGAAGCATTGCAGCCAAATTGGTCTGTTTGTTATTCAGGAATAGTGTCCTAGCATAAGTTTATTTAAAAAACAATTAAATAAGAGGAAGGATTTCAACCCTGAAAAATGTCCTCCTCTCTCCGGGACCACGGGTAGCATGTGACCCTGGGATCTTTGTCAGTTTTGGTGAGCACAGTTACAGAGATGGACCATTTTTTTTAGGGAGCGAACAAATCAAAATTTTGAGCCTTAAGTTGGTCGCAATCATATCCGGAAGTCGTTACAATGACATTTTCGTGCAATATGCTTCTGTGGACAGTGCAATACTTAATGAATACTTTTGACAAATCGTGTTTTTTCCGGTTTGCGCTTCAAACGTGATTTATTTGTGGAGTGTCATACGTTCCTTTTTGAATTGAAAAACTCATCAGATGCATTAGGTAATGGAGTAGGTACAGCATCTCTCATTTCTTAACGCAGGGGGCGGCAAATTTTGCATTTTTTTAAAATGTAGGTTTAAAAAAAATCGGATTCAGAAAAAAAAAATTACAAACGAGAAAGCGTCTTTCGGTGACACAAGAGACAGCACCTTTAATTAGTCGAGTTAGGAGAGAAACTAAACACGCAATTTGGCATGGAGCAGTGCAGCAATGATGATGAGGACTTGAGATAAAAAGGAGAAGCCCTCAGCGCGGCGCACGGGGAATCGAGTCAATGAGAGAGGTCGGAAAAAATTTGGGAACTTAAAACGCTCATAACTCCGTTTATACAAGAATCTAATGTTCTGCAAGCTGTTCCACTGGTTTTCTCGTGATATTTTCTTCCAGTATCACCCCTTGAACTTTAAAATGTGACGAAATAAACATCGACATTTGCAGTTTTTGTCAAAAATTTCGTGTCCGACCCCTCTAATTGACTCAATCCACTGTGCGGCGGTCGGCGTGAAACGCATAGCGCCTACAAGACTGTAGGAATACTTCACGCATTGCGCCAAACACAGTGCGGTCAGTGCGGCGCGCCGGCGCACACTGTGGTATTTGACCGAAAAACCTGGCCAAAACCTCAATTTTAAATTTTTTTTTAGTGGAAAACCAATGTGATATTCGAAATCTACACTGTTTTTTACCCTGGTAGACATGTATGTACCATTTTTCGAGTGGCTCAATTTCCCGCGAAGAGACCACGAAGTTACCTATTTCTCAGTGATTATTTTGATATGTTTCGGCGCGCTACTCGTCGATCAGTTTACTTCAACTGTGCGATCATAAGAGGGAAGTTCGGCGATATGCGACACATTCTTAGGGGAATAATCTACACAACTAACCACAGTATTTTCGAAATTTCTTTTTTTAGTGATTTTCACAAGAGGTTGAAAAGTGATGTAAAAGTAAACGTTTTTTTCGAAATTCAGGGGCCGATATCTTTTTTCTCTCAACTGTTCTCAAGCAGTTTGAGGCGGGATGTTATAGTCCGAAAAGGGTATTTTCATGATTCAGGGGTGACAGACTGAGGAAAACTGAGGAAATTGAAATTTTTGACTTTAAAGATGGACTTTTGAGCGATTTTCACAAACATGAATGGGAAAAATTATGTCGATATGACGACTGAAATTGTATTTTTCCAACAGCTCTGACCCATTTAGTACCAATTGGGTGATATTCGGTCACGGAACCTGTTTCTTTGGCCCCTACGCCCTCGAAAGAGGGATAAAACAAATAATTTGAAAGCGGATGAGAGGGTCACTTTAAAGTCTTGCAAAAGTATTTAATCCGTTATCTAACAATCTCTTCGTGCATTATCCTTGAGTATAGACATATTTATGCCATGATTTACTTTGACAGACAAATTTGAGTCCATGCGGCCCCGGGGATGGGGCTTTAAAAGTGGCCCTCTGGCACCATGAAATTACGCTGTGAGGCACATTTGAAGCCTCGTAAAAGTGAGATATGTGGTTTTCTTACGAATTTCGTAGGTTTAGGAAGGAACCCATCAAAATGAATTATTTTCACAGGTGCTTTCTGTCTTCACAATGGTTCTTATTATGATAGAACTCATTTTCATCTTATAATTTATCCTCAAATCATCATATGGAGGTCCCGGAACTTTCATACTAGCACTAATTTTGATTCAAAACTGTCAACAATCTAATATCTAGAATGATTCATAATAATTTTTTTGGGAAATGTACAATTACTCCTCAATGTGAGAGATCGGCTGTTTCGTCAAAAATTTTGAAGTGACTTACGCTGTTTTAAAAAAAACCATTAATGAGGTAATAGAAAGTCCTTATTTCGAAAAGTACACCATAGGTAAAGGAGAAACTCGTCTAAATGCACCGCTTTAGTTAGATACTTTGCGTCCTTTTAAAGGCTTTTTGGAGGGCTTCTTGCACCCTCTTTAAACTCTCCGCAAATTGTCATATGATGTGTTAGGTGGTTAAATTGTGCATATTATCACATAAGAAGAAGTACTGATTGTAAAATATTTTTAAAACTCGGCGATATCTGGTGATAAATAGTTTTGGCCAGCTTTTCAGGTCCAATACCACAGTGTGCGGCGGAAGTTAAAATTATTAAACCACATTTATATTTGTTCTTGCATAATTTTTACCTTCATTTCTTACAAATGGAAGGCCTTGTTCACACATAGATAGGTTTACGGAACTTAACTTTCGTGCAAAGTTCCGTGCGAACTTTTGCTAGTAGTGAGGGGCATAGTGTCCTTTCTTTTAATTTTTCTTGTTTTGCCGGTTGAAAATGCGGGTGTGATCCCTGCGAAACGTCCCGGGTTTCTTATTATATTTTATGTGTTTCTTTTTATTATTTGCGGCCTTAGTCCCGTTTTAAGTTGTTTCTCTGTTACTGTTTCGGGCCGATTAAGTTGTTTTTTATTGATGTTTCGAAACGAATGAGAAGGGGGCGGCAAAATACAGGTGGCCCATAGGCAGCAAGTAGGTAAATCCGGCCCTGTTTTTTAAATGAATTTTGAGTCAAATTTACGTGAGAAATTGATTTACCAAGATTATTTTTCGTAATTAAAATTAACTTTCTTTTTAATACAGTTTTTACGTAAATAAATTTGTTCGTAATTTCCAATACTTTTTACGAAATTTTTATGTTAATTTAATTGTTATGTAAATTTGACTTCCATTTTCCGACTTTTTTCTTTTTTCGCGTTTTTCTGTGACTTTTAACAATTTTAGACTTTCTTTCCTTACTCTAGTAAGGATCTAGTCGTCAGAATCTATCCTGAACGACAACTTACATTCATGGAAAATAAAGCTTTAAATGTTCCTGACCATTTTTTACCATCCAAACTCATTAGAATACATTGTATAGGTATATGAAAAATTTGAAGAGCATCGCTGTCAAAAGCTAAGTTCTCCTTCGATTTAGCTCTTTTTGTATGGTCTATGGGTAAGGACAAAACTAACTGTTTTTGCTAAACGCTTACTGTTTTTTATTCATAAAATTTGAAAGTCTCAATGAAAGCAAAGCTATGTCCAATCACAGCTAGGTATTTTTATTTTGAGACTGCACATCCCAACTTCTCCCACTTTTTCAGCTGAATTATTTTTTTTTTTTTTTGGCTAGATTTTGGTTGGTGCAGTAATGCTGATGGTTATTTTTAGAAGACTATGATGGTGAAACCTAAATTTTCCAATGATATTTTATCAGCATAGTAAACTCAACCACGACTTCAATCATAAATAATTCCATTTAGCGAAATCAAGCTGAAAGGCACAAGTAAGGGTTCATGAAAGTTGAAGTCATAGCTCAACATTTTAGGGTAGGTTCAAGTACCTAACTTTTAACGTGTTTTAGACTTTTTTTCTTACCATAGACCCTGAAAAACCACTTAAATTCAAGGAAAATGAAGCCTTAAATGTTCATACCCATTTTTAAATGTCAGAACTCACTAGACCACATTATATTCATGATAAATTTGAAGAATATCGCTGTGAAAAGTTGAGTTTTCCGTAGATTTAGCACTTTCCGTATGGTCTTTAAGGTAACGACAAAAAGTCCTAAATCGAAGGAGAACTCAACTTTTGACAGCGATAATCTTTAAATTCATCATGAATATAATGTGGTCTAGTGAGTTCTGACAGTTAAAAAATGGTTATGAACATTGAAAACTTTTAGTTCGATGAATTGAAGTTGTCGCTTAGGGTCCATAAGCGCTACGGAACAAAATTCTAAAACTTGTTTGAACCAACCCTATAATATTCTCCCACAGGATTCACTTTCAGACAGTAATAATTAATCAACATAAACATCAACCATTACTGATAAATCATCAAAGATCCTATTGGGCGAAATTCAGCCAAAAAGCACCAGTTTGGAGTCTTGACATTTTGGCCACCGTTGGTTGCTTATTTACGCTATTCAACCGTGACTCGATGATAAAGAATGCCATATGGCGACATTGAGTCGAGAGGCACCAGTGTGGGTTCTTTACATTATGGTCACAGTTGATTGCTGAACGCTACCAAACCATGGCTAAATGATCAGAAATTCCATTTGGCGACTGATGTTAACACTCTTTGAACATCTGAGGTATAACTTCTGGAAATTTTGGCTATACTTGGTTGCTAAGTGCTACTTAACAGTAAATGTTCAACAGTGACTTGATGATAAAGAATGCCATAGGGCGACATTGAGCCGAAAGGCACCTGTGTGGGTTCTTTACATTATGGTCACAGTTGATTGCTAAACGCTACCAAACCATGGCTAAATGATCAGAAATTCCATTCAGCATAATGGAGATGTTGCATGTGTGAGGAATTTGCGAGTTGACTGTTGAATCTTGTGTAAAAGGTCGCGAGAAACACGATGGTGCCACTGGTTTTCTCTGAAATCATCTCCCAAGCTCAAAAAAAAGCACTCAAGTTAAGGTCAAAATGGAGGGAATATCCCACCCTACCCTGAGAGTCCAAGTCTAGATCAAGACCAACTCTCCATGCAAAGATAGGGAGCTAATACATTGACAGGGCTGCCAATTTATCTGGGGACTCCAAAACTGAAAACACGGCAACCCTGCTAATGTATTTGCTCCCTATCTTTGCATGGAGAGTTTGTCTTTATGTAGACGTGGACTCTCAGGGTAGGGTGGGATATCCCCTCCATTTTGGCCTCAACTAGAGAGCTTTTTTTGAGCTTGGAAGATGATTTCAGAGAAAACCAGTGGCACCATCGTGTTCCTCGCAAACTTTTATACAAGAATCAACAGTCAAATTGCAAATTCCTCGCACATGCAACATCTCCATTGGGCCAAAATGCACCGATATCAATACTTCATATGTTACTTGGTTCCTCGAAAATTCTCCTCTTGGACTTAGCCTAAAAGTGTGAACATTTTTTAGCCTCCGGCGAAACCTAGAGTCTATACGGCTTCGCCGCACGACTAAAAAAGGAGGAAGGAACAATTGCAGGGACAGAAAAATTTCAAATCTAAAGAGTGTATGGTACATAAGGACGCTCAGTAAATGTTAGAGGTAGCAAGTTCATTCTGCATGGTTCATTTTAAAAAAATTTAATTTTTCTGAAGATCACCCGCAATTTTTTTGATAAAAGTGTCAAGAAGGGTCTCCAGATCGAGAAATTTAAAACCGCAAAGTCGTAAGTGGGGCGGTTTTTTTATTTTCTACTTCTTCTATTTTTAAGGGTAAAATGGCGGCAGAAGCCAATGTGTGACCACCAAAACCTACTGCCATCTGGTTAAATTAAGTTAAAATTTTATGTATGTTAGTCTTTGACTTGTAAATTGGTATCCTAAAAAGTTTCAACTCCCCCCCCCCCCCCCCCCCCCGGTAAAGGATTGCACCCCCTTATGCGGTGTTGCCAAGTTACGTTGATAAGAAGACTGACAGGGCAATGTAGATTTTGAGTTGCGATTATCACCAAGAACTATGGAAACACTTACCATTATACACTGTGTGGATAATTTTAAATCTAATTTGATAAAAGCATGCGCAGTTGCAATACTTTCTTTTTTTTGAAAATGCAAAATTTGGCCGGAAAATGTCAATTTTGTTATTTGATTAAAACCAGTCTATGCTTATTTTTCAGCAACATTATACGAATACGGAGCTTAAACGTTTAAAGGATATTCAAAATTCATCAATGAAAAAAGTGGGTTTTATCCTGTATGCAGAGTTGCCAACCTTAAGCAGCAACAAAAATGCACTCGAATGCAACAAAGATGAATTTTGGACGGTCTACATTAGATATGGATGTACTCTTTTTACTAGCTAAGTAAGATAGGAGTCCTCTCTTCTTCTGTTTACAAAATTTAAGGGAAAAATTGTTTAAATATTACTCTTTGATTCTGAAGCAAATTCTGAGAACCTAAAAAAAATCGCTCGCACAGTTAATACACGGGAATAAACAACCTTATAAACCTATCTCAGTCATGAACCTCTTAAGTTCATTTCCCGCACTACAATATTTTTGTTGTTACTTTCAATTTTTGGAAATCTTTAGCAATTAGATAAAACCTAACTTCAATCATTTGTGAACCTTGAAGTTTTTTCTCTTTAGTTACACTTCAAGAGACCGGGGCTTCAGTTCTTTGCGAACGTCAGTAAAATTTCTGAACGGTTCGTGTATATTACTTACTCATGAATTAAAAACTATTTTTCCTTATTTCTCTCTGGATATTAAGGGGGGGGGGGATCAAAATTTTACTCTTTGAGTCAGGAACAATAAATAATAAAACCTTATAAACCAATAAAACCTCAGGAATTTCTTTCAACCAAATCTGCTCATCGGTTGGTGTGTACTAAATTTCATAGATTAGCTGTGTTCCCTGATTGAGGTTTAGTGACTTTGACATAATACCCTATTGTATGTAAAAATTCTTCAATTTCTTGTATATCAATTGATAATTTCGCTGAAAAATAAGCATAGACTGGTTTTAATCAAATAACAAAATTGACATTTTCTGGCCAAATTTTGCAACTTCAAAAAAACGAAAATATGGCAACCGTGCATGCTTTTATCGAATTAGATTTAAAATTATCCACACAGTGTATAATGGTAAGTGTTTCCATAGTTCTTGGTGATAATCGCAACTCAAAATCTACATTGCCCTGTCAGTCTTCTTATCAACGTAACTTGGCAACACCGCATAAGGGGGTGCAGTCTTTCAGGGAGGGTTTGAAACTTTTGAGAGACACCCATTTACATGGGGGGGGGGGGGGGGGAGTTGAAACTTTTTAGGATACCAATTTACAAGTCAAAGACTAACATACATAAAATTTTAACTTAATTTAACCAGATGGCAGTAGGTTTTGGTGGTTACACATTGGCTTCTGCCGCCATTTTACCCTTAAAAATAGAAAAAGAGGAAAATTATTTCAATTCCTAAATCTAGAGACCCCCCTTGACACTTTTATCAAAAAAATCGCGGGTGATCTTCAGAAAAATTAAATTTTTTTAAAACGAACCGTGTCTCAAAAGAATAGTTTTTATACTAGAAGATTGAGTGATCTGGTAAGATTTTAAATCTATCTCCTTACGGAGCCCATGGTTGAAAAGGAAAGAAGAGTCCAACTTCTGAAAATACTTACTTCCTTGAGTGATCCAATAGTTTTCTACAAAATTAGCATCATGACAAAGACTTGCATCGTACTGCATGCTCGAATTTGCACCTAAAATACACAATCCAACAAATTACCAATTAGGTAACCAGGAAACTGAAAATATTGAGAAGCGAAGCACACTATTAGAGTCACACTTGTGTTCCATTGCTTGCCTGATAAAAGATATCATTAAGTTTAAAATGCTGACTGATATGTATTCAACGAAAGAAAGGTACCTATTATTGCATAATACTTGCACTATAAAATTTTTTGAGTCAATTTGTAAGTACTTGGAATTAGGAGCTAAAGAAAGCCTAAAACTGAGATGTACCTTCATTTCGAATAGTTCAACCTATTGAACATGTTCCTTTCATAGAAAAAGAAAGGTGAATGCAGCGTAGAAAATTAATTATTGTAACTCATATAGAGACCCTTAATTTCTTGCTTACTACTTTCAAACGGATAACAGCTGTCAGTTCTTCATTTACTTCAAATTCTATGGAAAAAGCCAACTTTTAACCTGTATTAGATGTTGTTGAATTCCACTCCTAATTCATCTATAACACAAAAACTTCTCTTTTGAGAGCCAGTCAAGTTCTGCAAAACATGCTCCATGCTTGAATGTGTTACGGGTGATAAAAAATTAATAGGGTAACTGGCAAGTACCGATAGATTGGTGGTATTTATTTTGATCATTTTGAGAGGAAGATAAAAAATGATTTACCTACAAAAATTCTACCAGCCCCCCTCCCCCTCCCTCCGACGAATTGAAAACCTCAAACAAATCTTTTTTGTCAACAATTTCTTCACAGGCTCATGAATCTGCTCACACCATCTCCAGGCCAGAGTTTGCACGCTACAGAATTTTCTATATCGCCTAAATAAAGTATAAAAAAATTCAAGAAAATAATGTAGAGATACACACCTAATTGAAATTCTAATACATTTGGAGTTCTCTTCTTAATCCAAATACAGCCGAACATTTCTTCACCGCTGGAACAAGAGATTTAGAAGATTCATTCATTTGCAAAAAGAGGAATGCACTCATGCAGATTAATAAAATGGGAGGAATTGAGAAGGCCATGAATACTTCCTCACTTCAATAGAGTATTAGGGGGATTAATTTTTTAAGTGATAATTTTTTATGGGTTTAGTGTGAGCCTCCTTGTTTGATTTTGTAATTTTTTTGAAGACTCCAAAGGTAGAGAAGAGAGACGAGAAAGATGGTGATGAGTAAAAAGAGAGAAATTGTTCGTTTTGTTCTAGGGTGGAAATCAGTTGTAGATAACCAGCAAATATTCAGCAGATGCTTTTTCTTTTCGAACAGAGAAATACGTGCTTACAATTGAGATTAAGAATCCTAGAAATTAAGCATCTTAGCTGATACAGATAAAAAAAGGGACCGCTTTTCTTGTCAATTAGGGCAAGTTAAAGTTGAACCCCAAAATCCATAGAGACTGCCTCTAGCGAAGAGAAAATCTGCTTTGTCAGAAAATAGTTAATTGCACCACATAGAATATTACCATCATGAGATGCACAAACTAAAATGGCCAAAAAAGTATACATCATCGCACAAATTCCGCGTTGAGACACTGGCTGACTTGAAAACACTGACCCTGAGCTATAATTGTAAAGGAGTGATCTGCTTTGTTCAATCTAGGAGTCCATCAGATGTTAGACGCTTATACCACTTCGGCGAGTCCAAAAAAGGTAAACAGTCAGGCCAAACATAACAACCTGCGTTATTTTTTTTAACATGGTTATGGGTTCAAAAATTAATCTACGTTCCTATCTTCTAACACTATGTTGTATCATAAAATGCCATTCCAGTCCAAACTGACTTTTTGGGACTCATTTAAACCTGAGGCTGGTTTTTACTTTTGAAAACTAGTTTGTTTAATGTTTAAGCCGTAACAAGTGTCACGAATGAGTGACAATTTGATGAATTCGACAGTAAATAAAGAGGAGCAGCTTGGAAAGGCAATGATTAAGTACTAATTTTACATCATTTTCATCTGAGCATGGTAGAAACTTACCACTGAGTTCGACCAAAAACGACAAAGCGTTGAGATGCAGACTTGCTTGGTCCCATACATTTCATGGTGTAGGTTTTAAACGTTGAGTGATCTCTGTAGGTCAGTGTGTTACCCTCGATGGATAGTTGTTCCCATTGACCTTGAGCCCATCCTGGAAATCTATAAAACGAAATTCTTTCAATGTTAATGTTAACTTATCTAAATCTATATAGTGCATCGACCTTAATGATTATTTGACTTGCTTCCCTGTATCTTCAAAGTCGTTTTTGTCAGTTGTGTTGATAACTGCCCCAGCGGTGGGCCGCTCCTACAAAGAAACGTGTGCATCAATCTATCTATCTTCGGTCGTAATTTTCTCTTTATATTTCCTTGTAATTCAACAGTTAAACAATAACCATAGGAATAAATTTTATTGTTTTCAATAAATTTCAAATAAATTTCGCCATAATCTTCATCAAAATGAAAATGTAATGGAACGAAGTATTCAAACTTCTGCTAATTAGAAACATGGTACATCTAAAAGCAAAGAGAAAGCAGATAACTGCCCCAAAGAAACGTGTGCATCAATCTATCTATCTTCGGTCATAATTTTCTCTTTATTTTTCCTTGTAATTCAACAGTTAAACAATAACCATAGGAATAAATTTTATTGTTTTCAATAAATTTCAAATAAATTTCGCCATAATCTTCATCAAAATGAAAATGTAATGGAACGAAGTATTCAAACTTCTGCTAATTAGAAACATGGTACATCTAAAAGCAAAGAGAAATCAAAGTTTAAAGTTGCTGGAATTGAAAGTCTCATTGATCGATGAGAATGGGGTAATTTTCAGAGCATTATCAAGTAATGTTGACAAAATCAAAGAAAAAGCATTAGAACAGCTAGCTCAGTTGCTTATTCTTTGATGAAAGAAAAATCGATAATTATTTTTTATGATTTAGTTTCACATCATCCCATTCCTTTCCTGAAAGCTCAATAGAAAGAAAGAAAAAAAAAGATGATTAATTACTGGCCTTTAAATTGTTCGAAAATCCATTAGATCTTTCAACAAAAATACAACAAGAATCGCTACAAAAATATTAGAAATTTTCAAGAAAAATTTTGCAAATTAATTACAAAGAAATCTTACCTGCAACCTTCCGCTAATACAATCTGAGGCCACGCTGGAGGCACAGCGGATGTAAGCAAGAGAGTTTCATACCCCTCAGACGCATTTTTCAAGTTGGCAGTACAAGTAGAATCGCTTGAAAAAGCTAAATAGACAATGCCAGTCCCTTCTTCTTCCTTGTAAATCTGCAAGCAAAAAATCACAAAGGTATTCATAATTCTGGGCAAAGTTTTTAGAGGAAAAAACGAAATTTCATCACCTTATATTTCGTTTTTGAACTTTGCCCAAAATTTGGGGACTTGAATATGCAATGTTGGAGGCAACACCGCGATCGCATCCCGTTAACTCGTGTTGATATTCGCTCCGTCATATTTCGAGGCTTTTTCGTCATAAACCATTGCCTTTTTTAATTTATATGTATATAGACGGAAGTGGCAAAAACTGTGAACTGAATACAAGTAAATATAAGCGCATATTCTCCCCTGAAGGAGAGAAAAAGAGATTTTTCTAAGTGAATTCGATGATTACGCAACGGAACTGAAGTGACAGTGTTAGTGAGAAGAGTGTTAGGACTGTGATAACAAATGAACATCGTTGTCGAATATACACCTTTCACGGCGATTTTCTGCACACTTGCGCAAGCGCAATAGACACTAATCGTGAGTACTAGTGCGGTGGGGAAGAGGGGGAAATTTGCCAACTCTCACGAAACTCCGCTCAAATCTTTTGGGTAAACGCATGCACAATAGAATTTCACCCGAAATTTGACAACAAACCCGGCAACCAAGATGGCCGATAAGGAAACTAGCTCTATCTCACCATCGCCACAATCGCGATCAACGACGGAGGAAGAATCGGTAATAATCACTGAATCTCAACTCCTGGAAGACAAGCAACACACAACGCAGGCATCGATTGAACTCACAAGATCCAGCTCAACTCAGGAGCTCAAAAAACTCGGAGAAGAAGGACAGAAGATCAGTAACTACTTGGACACAAAAGAAAAGCAGCTTGAGGATCTACTGAAGTATAACAAGAAGAATGAAGCAATCATGAAGAAAAGCAAGGAGATTCTCAACAATGAACATGGAAAAATTGGAACCAAGAAGAGAAATGACGCGCAGAAATCTCTAGATCTTGAAAAGAAGTCAGCAAAAATGATAGAAGACGATATAGAAGCCAGAAGAAATGAAATAGAATTTTTCAAAGACCTCAGAACAAACATCATGGGAGCAACTACCTTGCACTCATCCACGGACGATAATATCTACTGTGGGAGTCAAGTATCAAGATTTTTGAACGATGTAGGAGACCCAAAAAAGCAAATTGAAGAAATGGAATTGGAAGAAGGAAGCAACAAAAAGAGGAGAAGCGAAGACCTTGATCTGACATTTTCAGATACTGAAATCAATCAAACTGAAAACAAGAAAAGAAGAAACCCTGGCCGAAGATCAAGCACACTAAAAGCAAAGAACAATGATGTACCTACAAGAGAAGAAATCCTATACGTTGAATCATCCTGGGAAACGCTTGCCAAAATGATTGAAAAAATGAAGGAAGGACTAGAAAAAGAAGTAAAGAAATTAGAAGAAATAATTATCCAGCAACGTGAAAAAGAAAACAGAGGGACCAGAGAATTAAAAGACCGTGTTATACAATTAGAGAAAGAAAATAAAATCCTGAAGAATGAAGTGAAGAATTTATTTGACGAGAAAACGAAGACTATAACAGAAGAAATGATGAAAGTAAGCAAGAAAGTGGATAACTATAAGATAGAAGGAAGCAGGACCAAACAAGAAATTCCAAAATTTGGCCCTAAACCAATGTACACAGAAATCGTACAAAGATCCACTGAAGAAGGGCTGAAGTTAACTAGAAAAAATAGACCTGAAGGGCAAAAAACAGTACTCTTAAAATCCAACGACCCAGTAGCTAAAGGTGATACACTACAGAACGAAATGACAGAAGCAATTACGTCTGAAGACATGAAAAATATTAAAGTCATCTCCACTGAAGTCACGAGATCCAGAGGATCACTCAAGATGAAATACATCGCCGAAAATGAAGAGGATAACAATAAATGGAAAGAAGTAGTAACTAGGAAGATGAAATCATCAGGTAAGAAATTAGATATAGAGGTAATTGAACTTAAACAAACAACTGGAATAATCAGACTTGAACCCATAGATGAGAACGTTAGTGAGGAGCAATTCTGTAATATGATAGCAGACGAACTGAAAGATCAAAATGTATTAATCGAGAAAATAAAAGAAAATATAAAGATAATTAAGAAGAGCAGAATTCCATATAAAAAAGGGAAATCACTTTATTATTGTAGGATTAATGATGCACCATTGGCAGAATTAATTATAAGCAGAGAACTTTTTGCCTTCGGAATTAGAGGCACCTGTAAAGCGACAGAAACGATTTTAGTCACTCCATGTACTCTATGTGGAGATTATTCTCATGGAAAAAATTTCTGTCCTAATAAAACCGAAAACATGAAACCTATATGCTTTAGATGTGGAGCACAAGATCATATAAGAAGCGCATGTAAGAACCCCCCAAGATGTGTTGTATGTGAGAAGAAAAAGATAAAAGACACAAAGCACATGGTGGGGGAACTTAAGTGCCCTACTTACATTAAAACACTTAATATAAAATTATTAGCTTTCGGATACAACCCTGTAGAATTGAAAAAAGACGAAAATGAAACACCCAATAATGGAAACTGAAATAAATTATAATTCATCTACAGAAGAATTTTTAATAGAATCACCTGTAATTAATAAACGTAATATTTATGTACAAACTAGATTAGATAATTATATTGTTAAAACGAAAGAAGATGAGTCTGAGATAATTGAGATGGCGTCAACGGAATCCCTCCTCTGTCAGCTATCTTATGTAATGTGCAAAGAATGCACGGAGCGCACGATCTGATAAAACGCAGGGCGATGAGCGATAAGTGCAGTGTGATAATGCTGAGTGAACCGAATGCCTTCAAAGCATTCAACAATGGAATCAAGTGTGACACTCTCGGGACCTCTGGGATTAAAGTAAACAAACACTTAATAGGTAAAACATCAGACTGGCAAACGGAGCGGAATTTCGTATCCTTCAGATGGTAAGACCTAACGATAATTAACGTATATTTATCTCCGAATCAAAAACCACACGAGCTGGAAACTTCCTTAAGAAAATTAGATAGATTTATAAGAGAAGTAAAGACACATATTACTTAAGCAGGCGATTTTAATGCCAGATCGATAGTTTGGGGAGACAAAATAAGTAATAAGAGAGGAAAACGATTTGAGGAATTTATATTTACGAATAATTTAGTAATATTAAACGACACTTCGCAATTTAACTCTACATTTATAGGACACCAAGGCAAATTCGTAATAGACTTAGTCTTAGTTTCAGCAGAAATAGCAGAGAAATGCTCAATGGAAACACTAGAAGAGCACTTCATCAGTGACCATAAAGCAATAAAAATACAATACGGAAAAGAGAGAAAAGAAACACCCCCTAAAAACAGAGTTGGATGGTTTATAGATAACAAAAAATTCCCTACATTTAGTAAATATACAAAGGACATCTTAGCAGAAAAATGTAAAAACTCAGCACTGACCCCCATTATATGTGAAGAAATAATGACAGAGGTCTGTAATCTAACCTTCAAAAAGAAATTAGAAGTAAGACCCTTCAACCCGATATACTGGTAGAATGAAAAAATCGCATCCTTAAGATCCAAATGCCAAAAATTTAGAAGAAAAATCCAAAGATTGAAGAAAACCAATGAAGAATTCGATGAGATAAAAAATGAGCTTAAAACACTGAAGGAGGTATTGGTAAAAGAAATAAAAACATCCAAAAGAAAAAATTGGGAGATGATAAGGAAACTCGAAGAGGACCCGTGGGGCCAAGCATATCAAATAATCAGAGGAAGAATTAAAAATCCAAATAAATTCGTAAACTCTTCTCTTACAGAAGATGAACTATTTCAAACAATATATGATCTTTTTCCTGACCACGGGGAGTAGAAATGGACCCCGACTCTGTTTTTAGGAGAGGAGGTTCCGCAAGTTTCGGAGGAAGAGGTGAGAACGGCTACCTCCAGACTTGGGGTGGGGAAAGCTCCAGGACCGCATCAAATTACCCCTGTATTAGTAAAAATTTTAGTAGATGCAAACGTAAAAGAGTTCACAAAAATGATAAATACACTGTTAATAAATGGAAAATTCCCTGACGAATGGAAAATGCAAACTTAGCATTAATACCTAAAGGAGACAACCCTGAGATAAGAAAATTCAGACCGATATGTATGATCAATAGCATTGCAAAAATTTATGAATATATAATTTCTTTTAGACTAAAAGAGGGACTGGAGCTCTCCCCGGATCAGTTTGGATTTCGGAGAGGCAGATCCACTGTTGACGCAGCTTTGCGCAAATTAAAAGATATTTATGACAAAAACATGAATGAGCCATACCACAGAAGGAAACTGATGGCTGTACTCGGGCTGGATAGAAAAATGCCTTTAATAGTTTGCACTGGGTAGATGTAATAAATGCTCTCGAAGCAAAAAAAGTATCTAACTATCTGGTTCAGATTATTAAAAGTTATCTGTCCAATCGTCAGATATGCTATGCAAACAGGATCTTTGGAGTGAACAGCGGCTGTTGCCAGGGTGGGATTCTGTCACCGATTTTATGGAATATTACTTTCGATAACATCGTTTGATTACAAACAGACCCAAAATCAGAAAAATTGGCATATGCTGACAACATCCTGGTCATTCTCTTACGTTATGATAAAAATGCACTTAAAAAAGACTCATATCGAATTACAAAGAAAATAGAGACAGAACTAGACAAGAAATTATTAACCTTAGAAACAAAAAAATCAGACGGAATCATCTTACACGGAAAAAAGAAAGATCGAGAAAATGCAAAAATTCAAGTAGACGACGTTGAAATTGAAACATCAACTTCCATGAAATACCTTGGTATACATCTGTCCAAAAATTTCGATATGAGTGCTCACTTAACAACCGTTTGCGACAAGGCTAAGAGAGTGGCACGGATGTTTAGAAGTATCATGCCAAATACTAAAGGCCCATCATTTCATAAAAGAATCTTATTAATAAATACTGTTATCTCTATTATTACGTACGGAATTC